ATTCAAACACCACAGCTCGCGTCCGAACTAGTCCAAACGGCTCCCCACTACTCCATTTCCAACGGCCAAGGGCGTCCGACAAGGTTGCCTCTTGGCCCCTTTACTGTTTAATCTCTATCTTCATGATGCAATTTCCACTTTGAAGCTAGCATCTAAGTATCCTCCTCACTTAGCAGGCCACCCCGTTGCTTCCCTTTTCTATGCTGATGATGCCGTCATCTTATCCAGAACAGCTGCGGATCTAGCAAATGCAGTTAATGCATTTATCGCCTATTGTAAGGCGGAAGCTCTTAATATTAATTATAAAAATCGAAAGTCCTCCACTTCACTCGTTCCCGCAAACTCAAGTTGGAGCCGCTTAAGATCACAGGTGGCTACTTAGAAAAGGTAAAAGCCTTTAAATATCTAGGATTAATATTCACCTATAATCTCTCCTGGACCACCCATCTACAATCTGCCTTTCTCGCTGCAACCACGACCTCTAACGCCATTGTCCGATTTTACCACCAGAAGGGCGGCAAACACCTTCCAGCAGCAATTCAAATATTTAATGCCAAAGTCGTCCCTAAATTATTATATGGATGTGAAGTATGGACTACAGCAATATCAGGTAACCTGGATCGTCCACTTCATATGTTTCTGAGATCTCTTTCCGGCGTCCCGAGATGTGTCTCAGGTGCAGCCCTACGACTCGAGTTCGCCCAGCCTTCAATTGCTAGACGAGCATGGAGCCGAGCCATTTCCTACACCCTCCACCTATTAGCATCGGATGCTCGAATTAGAGGTGGCTTTTCCAATCTGATCCTAAGAGATATTCATAATTCCCCTTGGAAAACTACAATTAACCTCAAATTCCGCTCTCTTCTCAATTTGAATTGTAAAACTGTTCTTAACTTAGAGTGTATCAGCCCGGTGGCCCTACCCCTAATTAAAAAGAAACTACAGCAACTTGACTTCTCCAACACAGCTTCTTGTGCAAGAGGACCGTGTTCAGGCCTAGCCCTAGCTATTCCACCCCTGAAGGGATCCCTCTATACTGCTTCACAATTTCTTCGGAGACTAAGCGAAGGGCTTTTACCTGTGCCCGTCTCAACTGTTTTCCTACAGCAGTTCTGTCGGGTCGTTATTCCAGAGTTCCCATCGCAAACAGAACATGCTCCTGTAATGACACGGCCCTGGAGACTATGGAACATGTAATGCTCTTCTGTCCCAACTGGACAGATGAAAGATCCCGGTTTTTAACTCCCCTCGTGAATAAGTTCCATCTCCCAATCCAGCCTTGGATAGTGTCCCTCTTTTTGCAGGATTCTGATTGTTGGATTACTGAGATGACAGCTAACTTCCTGCTTAGTGTGATGAAGAGGAAAGCGGCACTAACTTCTTCCTTAACACCACAGATGCAGTCGATACGCCGCACAACCGAACGAAGTTCCAAGTAGCCTTATTGTACAAGGACAATCGAGTTAGGACTAATCTGAGGAGCTGAAGGACCCTTTAACGGTCCTCCTCCAGCCTCAGCAGCTTTTTTTTTTTTTTTTTTTCACTTTCTTTAAGTATTCGCCCAGGACGATGTCTACCTCTACCTCCCCACCCCCATTTTATGTTGTTATTTCAATGTATATCATGCTATGGCCACTCGGCTAATGCAATAAATAAATCTATCAAATCAGCAATTTAACATGGATTTTACTATCTAACAAGACCATTGATACGTAAAATGAAAGCAATAATCAATGTACTGTACTATAAAATAAATAAAACAGTATTGTAGGTGATAAAAATAAAAATTAAAAGAATTTCTTACCTGCACTCATGATAGTCATTGTTTGGATGGTGGGCTTTTATCCATTTCCGCAGTCACACAATCAATCAATCAATCAGTAGCTGAACTGGGATTCACATAGATTCCCCCCCACCCCCCGGTGCTGTGGGAAATGCTCCCTAGAGCGCACGCCTCCTGCTACTGTGAGAACAGAGTGCTGGAGTCAATGGACCCTTGGCCTGATACTACAAGTACTTCCTTACTTCCTTAAGTTTTGTCTGAGTTCCTCAGTACCAAGGTTGATTTCTCAGCTTTTCCTGCTGTCTCGATGCATCACTGTTTTCATCTGCACGAAGGTTCACCAAATCATGAAAATCCAATAAACGTGGCATCTGCACTTCAGAGCAGAATGGTTCTTTAGTTTCCATATGTTGGTGGCATTTACATCTAGGGACTCAGCTACATTAGTAAAGAAAAAGCGTTTTAAACGTGTTATAACATTGTGACACCAGATAGCGGTGTGGAGTTCCATTTTTTGGCAACGTCATTTCCCTTTATGAGGTATACAATGCGTTTTCCTGAAACTTTTTTTATGTGTCTAGATCCAGTCTAGTTCATATATGCACACATTTTGTTCATGCTGTTTTGCACGCAGATAACCAACAATGTGGAGAAAAGTGTTGATGTCACTAAGTGGATTTACCGTAATTGCACAGCCAATTCTGTCTTTATGGCTTGGGGAAAATATAGTGGCAATTTCAGAAGCAGTTGCTGGCTGAGTGTTTGTGCGTGGTGGTCCACCTGCTTCACACCAGCGTTGCTGCAAATGGCTTCTGTGAGTCTGTGTATGAGATCATGTGGAGAAAATAAGCATGCTGAAGTCTATGAACTGGCTCTTCATTCAAGTCCTCAACCTTGGGCTTTGAGGGTCACTTGAAACAGAGCAGCTGAAAGGCCCAGGCCATGAAGCAAGGCTCATGTGCTCCTTCCATGTTTCCCCTCAGCAGGTTGCTTGTCCTGATAGGAACCTTTTGGATCTCTATTTTAGAAAGTGTGAACAAAGTACTCAAAGGCACTCTGAACAACATTCCCTCTGAGGTCCATCATGTCTAGGAATAGAGGAGAATCATAGAATTGTAGAGTTGGAAGGGACCTTATTGCCAGAAAGTTATTCCTGGAGTTTGGTTGGAATCTCTTGTAACTTGAAGCCATTGGAGCAGGAGAAAACAAGCTTGCTTCATCTTGTGTGTGACAGTCCTTTAGATATTTGAAGATAGATAGAATGTCTCATCTCTGTTTCCTCTTTTCCAGGCTAAACATACTCAACCCTCTCAACTGTTCCTCATAAGCCTTGGCTTCCAGACCCTTGATCATCTTGGTTGTCCTCCTCTGCACACGTTCCAGCCTGTCATTTTGAATTCTGAATCTGTCTCCTGTGGCATTAGCTACCCCTCCCAGTTTGGTGTCATCTGCAAATTTCATGAGCACCCACCCAATTCCTTCATCCAAGTCATTTATACTGTAAAGATGTTGGAACAACAATGGGCTCAGGTCAGAATCCTGCGGCACCCCACTTGTTACTTTTCCTCCAGAATTAATGAGCACCCTGTGGAATTTAGTTCGGTTCTCATTTAAATGTGAACCTATGTCATTTGCGCTTCCTGATACAGGGTGCAAACCACAACAGAGCCATCCTTCAAAATTCACACTTCTCTGAATTTTGCAGTGCAGGTCTCCAGTCAAGCAGTGCGTACAACAGTGCATATACCAGGATAAAGTGTGCATAGAAACACATATATTCATGAAAATAACATACAAAAATGCAATATATAGGGGGAAATGGCTTGAATAATTGTGCCTACTGGGCACAATTGCATACAAAAATGTGTATGTGAGGGAGAAATTCACCCTAAAACATTGCTGAGTTTTCATAAGAACTGTTTTTTTTTTTTTAAATGATGTGGAAATGTGAAGAACTGAATTTAAGATGGGAAAAATGAGAAACTGAGGGAAACCTAATTTGACAGATTAATTTATCTTAGAGCCAATCATTCTGCCCAGACTAGTGATCAAGGAATATGTATATGATCTCTCATTAATCATTTGTTCCTTCCACACTTTTTAGTGTATTTCACTATTACCTTCCTAACCACAAAGGTTCTGGGTTTTTGTTGTTGTTGTTTTTAAAAATAAAGTGGATTTTCTGTGCCAAGGTGACACAAATAATGCACTTTAATTGTGCAGATGTACAATTTTCAGCCCACAAAATACTGAGAGTCTGAAGGTGACCCGAGTCATTTCTTGGATTGAATTGAATCTAATAAATATAATTTCTAGAACTAATCCAATAAATAATTTTTTTAGGTCTTATTAGGTTGAATTGGAACAATACAGTGAGTTTCAAGGACATGTTTTGCCTGATCGTTACTATAGCAATGTAATCATCAGACATTCAGCCACAAGTGTGTTAAAATAGAGTTGGCTTGAAATATAATTACTCATGAGGAGTTGGTCTGAAACTTGGAGGGAGGTGGGCATTCTTAAGATATGCACCTGGTTCCCTGTGTCAACTCAATAAACTGAAGGTCATTGCATGTCAGACAGAGGTGCTGTTAGTGGGAAGTTCCTCTGCCCATTTATAAATGCTATTTAGCTTGTTTGGATGTGACTGAACTTACGCTAAAGCAGATTACTGAAACACATTAACCCCAGTGACTATTCTGGTCTGCAAGGTGGATCCTTTGCCTTTGATCTCAGAAGGTTTCTGTCCACAGGCATGAGGATCAAACAAAACAATACTAAGGTGACACAGGTACTCCTTGGAGATTAGAAAAGTTCAGACCTAAGGATGCACCCCACACTAAGTATTGCTGGAGAGGTGTAACATGCCAATTTGACAAAATGAGATGACACTGGAGCCTGAAAAAGAAAATGAAAGAAAAGGGCAGCCATAGAAGCAGGTCACCAGACACCTTCACTGCAAGCAGAAGTTGAAATTTTCCAAATCATCACTCAATGCGCATTGAAGAGATTTATGATGGCATGTGGAATTTCAGCTTCTAAATCTCAGAAATCATCGTTCTTCCACCAAAGAAAACTGTGTAATCCCATGTACAGGGCACGCTCCAAGAGCCACTTACCTCCAACTTAATAGTGTCAAATGAGTGTGCGTGTGTGTGGTGTGTGTGTGTGACACCCTTCCATGCCAAGCAAAGATGTACTAAAACAGTACAGGGAATAAGAGGCACGTGGCTTAAATTTAATTATCACAATGCTTTATCAGGTGACAAACTTGAAAAGAAAGAATTTGCACAGGCAGTCCTCAAATGCTCAGAAATGGACCCATTCGAGTCATCTGAGGTATCAAGTAGTAATTTATTTGGAAAGATCTGTGTGTTTCAGTGCCAGAAGCAGTAGGTTCCTTGGCCACTTGCAGGAGGGCATTTGAAAACTATTGTAGCAGATTTAAAAGACTTATCACTAGTAAGGGTCCACATAATGTAAATGCCTATGTATGCACCATTATTACTGAAGCAAAATGTCCTGTTGGTTCAAAGGAATCACAAGCAACTTTTGTGCTACATTTGAAAGTCCTAACATTTGTAGAATTTCTAGAAGTTCTTCTCAAAACCAGTCAGTCAGTCAGTCTGTATATCTTATTAGTAGAGATCTCTGTGTTGAGACTTAATCATCTGTTGAATGGTTTGTACCTCGGCACTCTAACAAAATGCACCCATTGTAATAATATATAACAATTCATGTCCGGTATAATTCAGAATTAAATATAAAAAGTATGGTCATATATATTATTACAAATACTTTTTCATCCTCTTCTTTGGAAAAAAAAAAGACAAAAGTTTTGAGAAAAAGCAGGAAAATCTTAGAAAAAACATGAAGGAGTTTCTGATTACAACTGCAGTGATTACAACATACGCTAAAAAAATTTCATAAATTATCTACAGTATAGGTTTTGGCTGGAAAGCAGCAAACAATAAATTTGGTCAACAGTTAATCCCTTAAGTAGATTACACTTTCGTCTTTGGGTTGTTCTCATGAAGATGGCTTCACAAAAAAAGAAAAAAGAAAATGAAAAGGAACAGAAGAAAGCTTGGAGACGAGTCCACGGGTTGAAGACATCTTCTATGGGCAAGGGTGCCATATGTAATATGTAAGTCAGAAGCACTTTGCACCACTACCTGCCTCCCATGAGGATGAAAACCGCAGTGAGGAAAGAGAAGATCTACTTGGTGGCTTTGCCTTCATCCAGTGATTGTGGATGTCAAAACAGAGCACAGGACAGTGCCAACTACAACCTCTCAAGAAACACCACCCATAAGCAGATGTTTGCAGGCAAGCACTGCCATCTCACAGATGGTTCCACATCTCACCTGTATTGTAACGCTCACCTGTTCCCTGCTGATCGTGCACGTCTTTTGTTGTAAATACAGAAATTCCTTACGTGCGACAAGCTTTCTGCCACTATGGCTGGGGCCATTGGTGTTGTCTAGATGCAAATCACTTTTTTTTTAAAAGGGTGCACTGAGTTTTGAGCATTTACAAATGGCAAATTGCTAGGGTCCCTTATAGGGTTCTTTTTTCCTCCAGGCCCTGCAGTTCCCAAGGCCACATTGGGAGACACAAGCATTTAGTGAAGCACGCCAGCCGTAATAGGAGATGTGTGAGAAACCACATCGTAGGCTTTTGACTCACTTGACACATGTCCAAGCTAATGTGTGACTTGGTGCTCCCTTCTTTCGTCTGATTTATAAATATCGGAACACCTTCACGGGACGGCAGGTCATTAAGGCTGAATGAACTTTCCTGGAAACAAGTTTCACTGGAATCGGTGGGACTCACTTTCACAGAAAAACATGGCGATGGAAAGGGTAAAACATGAAATAGAATCTGCAGGCTAAATGGAAAGCAGGATTAAAATGGTAAGATCATTGTGGGGAAAAGAAATGAAGAACCCTTAAGTATGCAGTGATTTATCATTTCCCGAGTTTCGCCAGAGTAATTGTTGGCAGTCGCTGCCTTAGCGAGGTTTTCTCCTCCCTTTCTAGAAAATGCATCGCTTGGTATGTCTCTGTTATCGTTCCTTTTTTTGTGACAAATCCAATCCGGCCATCCTCAAAACATTCTCAATTTCTGGAAAGCTTCTCCTCCTTCGAGTCCACTCTATGTAGCTTCATCACCAAACACGGCACTTTTTCACGGGGTCCATGTATTCCGCATTGGTACACTTAAAGGCTTCAGAAAACTCTGCTGTGTTCTGCAGTGTTCCTAGGACCCTTTAAAACAAGATGAGAATATGTTAGTTCTGCTTCATAAATAACTACATCCAGGGTAGCAACTTCTGCTGCTTGCTCAGGAAGCATACAGTTTATAGGGAGACGACTATGGCATCTTAGCACTGCGTGAAGAAGATCCTAGTTTTAGTCCTCAGCACCATCAGGTAATAATATTAATAATAATAATAATAATAATAATAATAATAATACTTTTTTATTTATACTCCACCCTCCCCGGCCAGAGCCGGGCTCAGGGCGGCTAACACCAATAAAATCACAGTAAAAACATAATAGGGGAAAAAGAGAGGGGGAAAAAAACCCAATTTAAAATACAGCTTAAAATGCAATTTCAAATGCAGCCTCATTTTAAAATAGCTGATAAATCAAGACCATAAGGGGAGGGCAACATAAGGGTCAGACTGAGTCCAAACCAAAGGCCAGGTGGAACAGCTCCATCTTGCAGGCCCTGTGGAAAGATGTCAAGTCCCTCAGGGCCCTAGTTTCTTGTGACAGAGCGTTCTACCACGTTGGGGCCAGTGCTGAAAAGGCCCTGGCCCTAGTTGAAAGCAATCTAACCGCCTTGAGGCTCGGGACCTCCAAAGTGTTGTTATTTGTGGACCTTAAGGTCCTCCATGGGGCATACCAGGAGAGGCGGTCCCGTAGGTACGTGGGCCCTAGGCTGGGAGAGATGAATCTGAAAAACTGGAGAGCTATTGCCAGTCACTATTGAGCTAGATGGACCAGTTGTTTGACTTGGTATGCAGCAGTTCCATGAAATACACATTTTTTAAAAGCAACCATCTTCTTTGCAATGTGGCTGTCATTGCATAACCACTCCCCCCAGAGCTGGTTCTCACTGTGCACGGGGCAATGTCTTTGCAGAAAGGCAACTAGGAACTGGGAGCTGGAACACATAGCATAAAGGCAGGCCAGGAGACCTGCGCATTCTTTCCCTCTCATAGATTACCAAGGAAGAAGGAAATGAACGCTGCTATCCCACAATGCTTAAGTGATGATGCCCTCCCACTCACCACTAGGAATTACTACCCAGTGGTTGCAACAGTTACTATTGGCTGAATGAGTTGTCCAAAGTGGAGTGTATATATTTACAGCTGTCTCGTCAGTAATGAAATGCAGTGCTTGTTACGGAACGCTAAACCGTGTCCAAACAAAAGATATACAATGATCTCAAAGAATGAATCAGCAATGCAAGTGGATAAAAGGCACACCAGGCAAATGTCCTGGGAACTGCCCCATCCAAAGCAAACACTGTAGCTGAGAAATTCAGCTGAGTGTAGGATTTTGGAATATAATTGCATCAGGGAGAAAGTCGCAGATTTCCTGGAAAAACAACAACAAAGCCTTGAGAGCACACCCACATGAAAATACCATTCTGAGGCCAGCTTCAGGAACAGTTGATGCATTCAATAAATGTTTGGTTATGCAGGGTATACTGATAAAGTGAGCATTTGCAAAAACGAAAGAAAAAAAAAGGAATACTGACGAGAAGTATACCAGGTAGGTAAAAGCACAGGCTCAGAATTGTATAATAGCAGCACAAAGGCATTCACTCATCTATCACAATATCTTTATATTTTCCATTATTAATCCACTTTGATTTAATAGAACATTGCATTTCTCAAATGATATTTATCTGGACCATCCTGTGAACTCAGAACAGGATGGAGAAACCAATGTCTTATGACGGGTAATCAATGTATACATTGCAAACTGGATTTTTAAAAAACCCGTTCAGGTATGATGAACATATTCCTAACGCCAAATTTTTGTGTGGCTCTCCACACAGTACTACTGCTACCCAAACAGCCATTTGCTGTTTGGGTGGTATTAGTACTGTTGTGTACCGTTGAAAGGGTGGAGGCAGTTGCTGTTCTCCCACACTATGATGAAACACAAATTGTTCCAGGAAGCAGACATTAAAAAACATGTGGTGGAAGCCATTTGAACCCACGTCTTCTGCCCTAGAAACAAGCATCTTAGAATGCAGAGAATGTGTCAGTGGTGGACCTGGGTAATATGGTGCCATGTGCGAGGCCAAATCCCCCCCCCCCCCAGCCCTTGTGGGTGGGTCAGAAGGTGACTGGCTTTGGAAAGGAGGCACAGGGTTCTGGCAGGGTCCTAGAGCCTTCACACCTCCTTCCCAAGGGTGGGAAAGTGCTCACTAGGCTCTGGGAAGGAGGGGAGAGGATTCTGTGACCCCTTCAGAGCCCTCGCATCTCCTTCCCAAAGCTCTCTTGTGGGCAGTTAACAATCACTGTATTTTTCTGTCTATAAGACGCCCCCATGTATAAGACGCCCCCTATTTTGGGGGACTCAAATTTAAGAAAATGGGGGGGAGATGGCCCAGAGTATAAGACGCCCCCTAATTTTTGACAGTGTTTTTTAGGGGAAAAACCTAGTCTTATACACGGAAAAATACGATACTGAATGACAAACAGTCTTAAAGATTAACATGTTTAACTATGCTGTTGACTTTTGTGAGAAAGGTGTGCATTGTATGTGTGTGTGTGTGTGTGTGTGTGTGTTTGTGTATGTATATTTTTTTTTAAAAAAAACCACTGTTTAAGAAAATGGATGTTTTAAAATACTAACCTGAATTGGCCTGGGCTGTGGACGTCTGTTTTAATAGAGTTGACAGCATATTCCGGCCTGTATGTCCCACACCATACCTTTAAAAGAACACACACACAAAAAATATATTGCAGAAATGATTATTTAAAAGCAGTGACATGTTAGTTTTGATTTCCAGAGCATTAGTCATGTTGCAATTGTAGCACATTACCTGCCACACGGTTCAAAGACTAACAAAACGTATTGTGGCATAAGCTTCAGCTGTATTTTCCTGTAGTGGGGATGTGGGAAGGCTGTGTCCCATGCAGCTTTTCTTCTTCTTCTAATTGTTTTTTTAAAATGAAGTCTCTCTCTCTCTCTCTCTCTCTCTCACTCACACACACACACACACACACACACACATTTAAATTCAGTACAGATTTTTTCAAAAAATTAAAAGGAATTATTTAGCTTAGAGAAACAAAACCAGCAAGTGCATCAACTTCAGGAGTTCAGTAGGCAGCCTCTGTTATCTAACAATAGATAGCTCAGTTGGTTAGAGCACGGTGCTGATAACACCAAGGTTGCAAGTTCGATTCCCATACGGGGCAGCTGCGTATTCCTGCATTGTAGGGGATTGGACTAGATGGTCCTCAGGATTCCTTCCAACTCTACAATTCTATGATTCTATGTAGATTCCTGCACTTCAATTAAAGCCCAGAGGAATATGTCATGATGTAACAGTGGAAGCAGGGACGCTGCAAGGCACTGGGATAAACGTTTAATGGAAAGAAAAACACCCACCCACCACCCTCAGCCACCTCACAGTGGAAAGGGAAGCTCAGCACCTATGGAAATCATAAAGACATTCTACAGAGCCCCCAGAATGAGGAAGAGAAACAGAACCATTTTGCTCCGGGGAAGGAGCCTTTCAGGAAATCAGAGAGCAGGTTCCATCTCAGCACTAGTACATGACCACACGTTAACTGCGCTTTACAGACTCACCTCCTGGATGCCTCCGTGCACTTAGCTGCGATTAACTTAATCTGACAGGCCACTCTCCTCTCGGCCCTGCTGCCATGAAGGCTGCTCGATTTAGCAATTCTGCCAGTTCACATTAAAAGGAGAAAAGCCAGCCTGCTGTTTCCAACTTAACTGTGAAATTGCAACTCAAAATAATTTCCAAAGCTTTCAATCAAGCAGAGTATAATACCTGTGCAAAGTTCAAAAAGAACAGCTGCTTATGGTTGAAGTCGAGTCCGGGGAGCAGCTTCTCCTCTCCGTTCTTCTCTACAAACTTTTCATAGGCCTGCCAAAGGAAGAGGAAGGGAAGAGAGATGATGGCCACCGTGAAATCCAACCAGCTCGAACTGCAATGAGAATCAAGCGCAAAACTAGGGAAGGAGAAATCATAAGATTTCTGGTTGCTGCCACTTCGTGTCCTTGTCTTTGGGCACCTCCAGGAACATTATGCCAACGTGTTCTTGATCCAATAATAGTGAATTAGTGGTTATTATTATTATTATTTGAGGGACACAGGTGGTGCTGTGGGTTAAACCACAGAGCCTAGGACTTGCCAATCAGAAGGTTGGCGGTTCGAATCCCCGCGACGGGGTGAGCTCCCATTGCTCGGTCCCTGCTCCTGTCAACCTAGCAGTTCGAAAGCATGTCAAGTGCAAGTAGATAAATAGGTACCACTCCGGTGGGAAGGTAAACGGCGTTTCCGTGTGCTGTTCTGGTTCACCAGAAGCGGCTTGCTGGCCACATGACCCGGAAGCTGTACGCCGGCTCCCTCAGCCAGTAAAGTGAGATGAGCACCGCAAGCCCAGAGTTGGTCACGAGTGGACCTAATGGTCAGGGATCCCTTTACCATTATTATTATTATTATTATTATTATGCGTTATTATGCGTTATTAGTTGCCCTACAATTCTTCTCCAAAGCTGCCACATTTTTGTCGGCCAGTGGGGGGTGGGCTATAGCACAAAGAAAGCAGGACAAAGACAGAGACGACATGGTATGAAAAGGTTATGGGATTTCAGCAGGAAGTTACAGAACATACAGAAAGAAAGCAATATGACCATTCCAAAACAGCTGTGTTCATCAGCTGATGAGCAGATACTTCATCCCTGCTGGGTGCTTCTTCAGAGTGCAGGGATCACAACGTGAGCATAAAGATGGCACAGTGCCACCTTCAGAATATATGTGGATGCCACACAACTCCTCCAGCACAGTATAAAGAGAAATTTAAAAGCAAGTCAGTTTCCCCTTGCGGAAGATATCGCATGACTCACAACGCACTGGGACCCATTAGTAAAAATGGTTTCCTGTATGCTGTGGAATCACATTATACTAGTATAAAAACCACATGGAAAGAAGATGGCTTTTATGTCTCTTATGTTGGGATAGTTCATCTTGCTTTACTGTGACTACGCACTTGGGAAAACTTCTGAAAAACGTAAACGAAAGATAAAAGAGCCATAATCTCAGTACAAGCAAAGAATGACAGTGTGGTTCTTACTAGAATGCACTTTGTCCTGGACATTTGGCTAATAATTACAGTGTGTTCTGTACTCTTAATTAAGATAACAAGAATAGAAGGGAGGAACAGTTTTTTCCATGGCTGCCCTTGAGAAAGATTCACATCGGAACTGTATTTCACTGAGAGAATTTGCTTTCCTTATTTTTTAGCACTATTTATTTACCTACCACAACGTTTGGTCAATTCTTGCTTAACGCCACAGTGAAAGTCCAAGCTTCCCACCTCATTAAGAAACATTCTTCCCAAGACACACGACTAAGTTTGGTCCATTCATTCTAAGGGTGTCTACTCTGAATAAAACTTAGCTGAATACCACCCTGTTTCTTGTTCATGTCAAATCTGCGTTGTGTGCATGTAGTTTAGTTTATGGAAATGTCATAACTCATTTCTTCCTGAGAAACCCACACAATTTTGCTTTTTAGATATTTAATACTCTGGAGCAGGCTTCCTCAACCTCGACCCTCCAGATATTTTTGGCCTACAACTCCCATGATCCCTAGCTAGCAGGACCAGTGGTCAGGGATGATGGGAATTATAGTCTCAAAACATCTGGAGAGCCGAGGTTGAGGAAGTCTGCTCTGAAGGGTCTCAGCAAGTCTGCATGGAATTGGAATTGAAGTAGCAAAGCCTAAAAGCAACTTCCACAAGCATAGTGATGATGATGATAATGAGGAGGAAGAAGAAGAAGAAGAAGAAGAAGAAGAAGAAGAAGAAGTTGGCTCTTATAGTCCTCATTTTTGGACAACTGTGGAAAGTTCTTAGCATATAGCTTTGGTGGGGACCCTGTTGATTTGACTCATCAAAATTACGTTTGGTAATTTTGTTTAATGGCGTTCCAAATCCCACAAAAGAAGCATAATTGTAGCTTAGAAGGACAGAAAGTGTGAGGCATGGTATGAATGAGTTGCCAATAAATGGATGTGGAAATTCTGAGGCAATGGGGAAAGAGGAGCATAACTCGTGCCCCCCTTTCTCCCTTCATGATTTATGTTGCATTTGCAAATTTACAAATGCAACCAACTATACAATATTTTTTTTTAGATACCTAGGATTTTCAGTGTTGTAACAAGCCACCTGGGCACTGTGCTGCTCACCCTTGCTTTGAATCAGGGCTGGGCAGACTGAAGGCTTGCAGGAGCGACTTCCTTCTCCCGGAACCTTGAACCAGTGCTTGATGCAAAAGCACAAACCTACACACTTAGAATTAAAGAATTGTGAGGCCAGGAACCTGGCGGCATCTTTTGTTTTAGTACCAGAACTCAACAGAACTCACTGTTCCTCAACACAGAGCTCTACTCTGGGTCATCACCCCAAGTTTTCTTGTGTTCAACAGTGGGATTTTTTAGGGCACAGGAGGAGTCATTTTGTTGTTGCTATTGTTAATCAACTGGTGGTCAAAAACGCTTGTTGATCTACTGCAGATCACCCGGAGGTCCACCAGTAGATTACCATCTACCTTTTACTCACCCCAGTTACTCATCTATATCAGGGATGGAGAATCTGGTTCAGATATTGTTGGACTCACAACTGCTATCAGCACTACCCAGCATGGCCAATGGTTACGAATTATGGGAGTTTTAGTCCAGCAATGTCTGGTGGGTCACGGGTTCCCATTCCCTGCCTTCCTTTCCTGTCCAGCCACTGGACCTTCCTCCCATGAAAAGAGGTAAATTGTGGTACATGCAATAAATGAACAGATATTTATTAAATTTGGATACTACCTTTGATTTGAGGATCACAGAGTGCTTTACAATTCCCTAACTCTCTTTCCCTAACTTTCTTTCTAAAGTTTTCCTATTGAAGAGGGAGAATGAAGGACAGGGAGAGGAGAGGGAGACAGGGGATGAAGCAGGAAGTGAGGGTTGTAGTCTTGAAGCGAAGAAACATGCATAAGGAGGGAGACTTCAGTTGTACTGAAGTGCTGCTTGAGGGTTTCCCATAGGCATCTGGTTGGCCACTGTGAAAACAAGATGCTGGACAAGATGGTCCATTCCTTATGTTCTTATGAGTACAGATTAGGCCCTGAAGACCAGGTAACTAAACTTCAGGGGTTTAACAAAGCAGCTTGTGTGGCACATAATTTTTTTTTTTTTAATTAAAACCCCAAACAACCCAACATTTTAACGAATCTGCACCAACTAACAATCATATGAAGTAAGAGAAAATGGGCATTTCTTACCCTGTATGCTTGTCTGATGCCACCATTATCGGCAATGTTTTCACCAAGGGTATTGATTCCGCTGAGCTGCAGAGAAAAAGGAAGAAATGAAAATGCTACTTACTTTCCCCCCCTTTTTCTTTTTGCCTGAGTGCGGAATGAAATTCTTGGAAGAACAATGAGTCATGGCTTGAAGGTCAGAAAATGGATTATTCCCAACCATCTAGATGTGAAATGTAGAATATGAAGTCTACAAGGCAACATCCAGAGGGCTATGACTGTCAACAGGGGGAGAGCTACAACCAGCAGAGCTCAGTGGGAGCTCTCCATGGTGCTGTTAAGGCCTGACTGTATCTGGTCGCATCTTGCCAAGTCCAGCTACTTTATCCTGAACCCGTCTTTTACCTTGATGTGACCCTCCTCACTGAGACTTTACATGACATGACCTTTATGGAAGAGTCTTGGTTTCATGGGAGATCTGCTACCACTTCCTCCAATCACCCCCAGCCTCAGCAAAACAGGATTTTCTGAATTACTGATTGTCGTTGTCGTTTTCTATTTTGAGTCGTCTTCTTCTTTGGCGATCACTTGGAGCTGAATAAGATTCTCTTCCATGAACACAGTCTTAACAGTGAGTCTGTAAGTGACTGTGAAGGCCAATTCTGGATCCACACGTCCCATTAGCCACAAATTGGCTTTCTTTGAATGCAACACTGAACCATTGTTTAGTGCTACGTGCCCAAGCAGCAGTTAGCCTGAGCTTTATCAGTGAGCCTTTGACTCGTGCACATTCCCCTCTCCTCCCTCCCTTCAGAGAGGCCATGAGGAGGAGATTGAAAGCTTTTGCTTCCTGTTCTAAATTAACTCGCTTTGGCTGATACACCAGGAACCACCATAACTGGATAGAAATGAGCAGGCCACACTTTCTGGAAACCTACTGTTCAGACTATTGCTGTGTGTGTTGGCCTTAAAATAGTCTAGGAACTGAAATTGGTCCAGAATAGGGCCAGGAATATATTGATTGGGACTGGGTGTTTCAACTATATCACACATGATGCTCCCCAGTTCATTTCTTGGTACAATTTAAACTGCTGGCTTTAACTTTTAAAAGCCTTAATTGCTTGAGATTAGGTTATTTGTCCCAGTAGTGATGTATGGAAGTGAGAGCTGGACCATAAAGAAGGCTGATCGCCAAAGAATTGATGCTTTTGAATTATGGTGCTGGAGGAGACTCTTGAGAGTCCCATGGACTGCAAGAAGATCAAACCTATCCATTCTGAAGGAAATCAGCCCTGAGTGCTCACTGGAAGGAGAGATCCTGAAGCTGAGGCTCCAATACTTTGGCCACCTCATGAGAAGAGAAGACTCCCTGGAAAAGACCCTGATGTTGGGACAGATGGAGGACACAAGGAGAAGGGGACGACAGAGGACGAGATGGTTGGATAGTGTTCTCGAAACTACCAACATGAGTTTGACCAAACTGCGGGAGGCAGTGGAAGACAGAAGTGCCTGGCGTGCTCTGGTCCATGGGGTCACGAGGAGTCTGACACGACTAAATGACTAAACAACAACAGGTTACTTGTGAGATTGCCTTTTCCTGCATATACCTACTTGAAACCTATCCTCTAGAGAGATCCTGCTCCAAGTGCCTTGATCTCCTCTCTGGGTTATTCCATCACTGAGAAGTTCGTCTTCCTAGTGGTCACCCTATACTTCTATACTTCTCAGTGATGGAATAACCTAGAGAGGTTTGCCCAGTGGATGCTGCCAATCTCTTTATCCTGGCTTTACAGGAAGATGAGATGGGAGGGCTTAATGTGCAACCAAAAGCTCACAGACATAACACTAGACCATGATTTAATGATATATCTGAACCGCAGCATTTTTTCTTCAGCTTTATCTGTGAACCTTGGCAAAGGCACCTCTAGGAATACAAATCATCTAAATGTAAGGGGTTATTTGCACCTATGCACATGTCTTTCTTCTATGGAAGTGCAAAGTGTGGTGGCTCAACTACTGTCACAACATGCCACTACTGAATGAATTGCACCGGCTGCCAATTAGCTACTGGGCTAGGTTCAAGGTACTGGCACTGGTTTGCAAACCCCTACAGAGCTTGGGACCAGGATACCTAAAAAATTTGTTTCACCCTAACCAAGCAATGCTTTTTGCAGGAAAGGGTTAGGGTTAGGGTTCCATCCTATGCAGGTACCATCCTATCAGGATGTCCAATCAGCAGGATGTTGGAATTGGACATTGAGTGTGCTGGTACCTGCCATTTGGAATTTCCATTGCGTAACAGACAGCTGCCTTCTCTATTGGCTTTTGGCACCTGCTAAAGATGTTCCTCTTTCAACAAGTCTTCAAAAATGTTTATCTCAACTGGGACCTGTCTTGGACCTGACCTGACCTGTTGTTTTAACCTGGTATTAGACTTATAATTGTTAATTGTTTTTATATGCAATTGCCTTTACATAACTGTTTTATATATGCCATTATATTGTAAATTGCTTTGAGATGCCTCATTGGGAGGAATTCATAAATGAAATAAATATACAAATAGTAATAGAAACTACATTTGGCCTCCAGCAGGTTTGTTCACATGGTTAAGTTTCCTTTTGAAGCTATTCAGTCTCTCAGCATCTCCCTCCATTACCATGTGGGATATGTTTCATCTAATAAAATAAAAGAATGTTCATTCAAATGTAAGCATTTCAATAAGAAAGAAGGGACATACATTTTGTCCACCAGCCAGATCCCATTTGAAGTTTCCATACTGGTTTACCATGCACTCAGACTGCTTCTTAAAATTTGTTGCAGATGTTTGACTCCACCAGTCTACAAGGTCCCCATTCTCATTAAAATTTCTACCTGAAATAACATATACACATAAGAAATTTGCAATGATAGTCTTGAAGACACTGAAAATATGAAATTGCCTTGTGCAGTAGCAGACTATTGGTCCATGGAACAATATTGCCTACTCAGAACGGCTCTCCATGACCTTAAGCTAAAGTCCCAAGGACTGAATTTAGGATCGTACACACCAGGTTGAGGAACCTTTTGCCCTCCAGATGTTTTGGAACTCCAATACCAACAGCCCCAGCATGCATGGCCATTGTCAGATATGGGGATCTGCTACTGAGTGATAGTCTTCTGCCTAGCAACAAGAGTTTGCACCATGAGCACACACTTCCAAGCCAACATCAGTAGAATGTGCAGTGCTTGACTCAAGCACCACTTACTTTCAGCACCATCGCCAATCCTTTTTGTATAATGTTATATCATAATGTAAGGGATGCGGGTGGCGCTGTGGGTTAAACCACAGAAGCTAGGACTTGCCGATCAGAAGGTCGGCGGTTTGAATCCCTGCGATGGGGTGAGCTCCCGTTGCTCGGTCCCTGCTCCTGCCAACCTAGCAGTTCGAAAGCACATCAAAGTGCAAGTAGATAAATGGCGGGAAGGTAAACAGTGTTTCCGTGTGCTGCTCTGGTTCAGCAGAAGCGGCTTAGTCATGCTGGCCACATGACCTGGAAGCTGTATGCCGGCTCCCTCGGCCAATAAAACGAGATGAACGCCACAACCCCAGAGTCGGTCACGACTGGACCTAATGGTCAGGGGTCCCTTTACCTTTATATCATAATGTATGGTGACATCAGACAAAATATGAAGGTCTTTGACTTTTCTGATCTATTAATCTGATTCCAGCCAGGTGCTCTGCTTGATTCAGGAACCTTAACATTCATCAAGCATGTTTCCCAATGCAGACAATGATGTGCTCATCCAGCGGTTGGCAGGAAGCTGCCATTTGCACATTCACCGTTCCTTTGGAATCGGTTCAGTGGCTGGCCAGGACCACAAGATCATCCCTCTTGGAAAGGTGCAGGGGGAGTGGGGAAAGAGGAATATTTGGCATCATGGCGTGACTGATGTTTCATTCAGCTGCTTTGTTAATAAGGTGCTGGTTGTGAATGAGGAAATGTTATGTTGCTGGCATAAATCTTTGGTTCTTGCTTTATGGTAAGGGTGGGGAAGTTGTGGCCCTCTAGAGGTTGCTAGATCACAACTTCCCTCATCCCTGGTCATTGGCCATGCTGTCTGCTGCTGATGGGAATTGGAGTTCAACAACATATAGGGACCACTGGTTCCCATCCCTGTTTTATGGGTAGTATCATGTTAATGCAAGAAATGCCAAGAAGCACAGGAGAGAGGGCCTTGCTGTTTACGAGATAATAATAATTGGTGCTTCTGGTAATATGTAAAGCCACCCTTAGCCCCTGGGAAACGAATAATAGAGATATTTTTTTCTGGTGCAAAGCACACTGCCACACACAAGAAACAGGGCTTGATTAAATTAAATCAGGATTGTCTCTCTCCATGCACCATACAGATCGGGTAAAGTAATACCAATGGTGAAACATGAGTTCTCTTTCTTACCATTATCGTCAAAGCCATGAGTGATTTCATGCCCAATGACCATGCCAATGCCACCATAATTCAAGGATTTAGGCTGAGCTGCACTGAAGAAAGGTGGTTGCAAAATGCCAGCAGGAAAGACTGCAGAAAGAGATATGACGCCATAGATGACAAGTTAATCTTTTGTACCAGCTCAAACTATTTGCAAAAACACAAGCTCAATTAAATAAACACCCTGGAAATTTTAGCCAACGGTGTGGCTGATTAATTCAAACTACCTCTCCTTCCCCTTCCACCTGATTTGTCTTGCTCTTTGATCACCAGATGCCCTTCAAATGCACGCTCAACTGTATGGGATCCAACAGCATGATGCCATCCAAGGCTGGAGGGGGGGCAGCTGTGAATTATGTGACCCCTGCAGGTAGGGCCAATGGTGCGAGGATGTAATTGAATGTCACAATTAGTGCAAGGATTTTTCTGTCCCTCTCCTCTCCTCACCTGCCTCTTAAACCTGCTCTAGGAGTTCCCCAACTCAACTCTCTGGACCTCTGGAGCACATCTGGGGAGCATATGCGTGGGGAAGAGAGTGGGAACACCCCACGTACAAGAGGAAATCCTTGCTCTGATGGGACACGGTAGCTGCATACCTCCCTAAGTCTTTCCTATGAAAATGAGAGAGACATACCAGGGCAGGGCTGGGGAATTTGTGCCCCCCCAGATGTTATTGACTACAGTTCCCATTATCCCTGTCTATGGTCATGCTAGCTGATGGAGTCCAATACTATCTTTTACCTACATGATCTGCACTGACCACAAGGTCATATTATTTATGGATGTGCCCTTCTACCCTAAGTCAGCATGATGCTGAAATAGTTGCTATTTTCTGGGTCTGCAGGTTCAGGGCACATGAGTTTCTAAAGCCCACCGACTCCTTTCTTGCCTAGAGCACAATGGCTCTCCTGTCCATAAGCCATGGGTGTGGTTTTCCCTCTGTTTCCCCTCAACAACATGAGTTTTCCATCCCTCCCCTTCCTTTCAGTTTCCTCCGCTTCCCAGATTCCAACCCCACTTCTCAGCCTATTGCCTACTCTTTTGTTTTGTATTTTGTTTCCAACTATCCTGCTTTCCAAAATTGCAGTTCTCCTGTCCCATAGCTCGCATAAGTTTTCCTCCGATGCTTCAAGCTGAAATTCCAGGATCTGATTAACAGGACCTATTATGTTTCTTCCGTAATCACCCAACTCTCAGAGGAACTGGTCCAGATATTGCAGCCAGCAACTGTTGGCTTGTCCAACCCTTTGCTAAGGTCACGCTAACCATCTGTTGTCTTGTGGCCCTCCAAAAATTAGGGTATTGCCATCGTTGGTTGTTTAGATAGGAAAGGGAGCTGATTCCAATTTGTGACAATACACCATGGAGGCATTCCATTTCCCACGGTTTTTACAAATTGTAGACTGGGTTGGCAAGCGCAACCCAGCTTACCAAGGAAAAACAGAAGGTGACCATTGCCTCAGGGAATAAAATTACGGTATATTGACTTGAGGTTAAATCCCATACTACCTCCACCACACATTGGTTTAGGGTAAAAGTACACACAAAAATAAACACACCATTCCCTACACATAGGCTTATTGTGTTTCCTTTGCAATTTTATGAACTGCTTCACTTTGCATTGCAGCCCTTGAAAGTGTCAAAACATTCTGCTATTAACTCTGTTAGAGAAATGCAACTCTAATGGATGAGATGTTTATTCTAAGCTACTTCATAGCAAACCAATGCTTGCTTATAACATTTGCAAAACTTGAGCAATCTCAAGCAATGCCAGAGAGATGAGAATTATTCCTACGAGGCTCCCCCTTCCTAACTAGTAAAACATTTGCCCATATCCATGAGCCATATAGCTGTGAAGAGGGAATTGCAATTCTTTTCCCGGCTGCCCATTTAAAGACTGCCAGGAATAGAATCCAAATTTCCTAAATTCTTGTAACTTGAGTATGTCCACAGAGACTTTTGCCATAATATGTTTATGCACTGAATGTGGGCACGGTGGAACTAACTCTTTTTGTTAATGGATGAGTAAGCATTCCTGTTAATGTGCTGCTTCGTTCTGTCTTGCTTCTGCATAGCACGGCATTTTGCTGTGCTGCACTAGAACCCTTCATGGCTGCCTAAAGTTTTGCAGCTTCATTTTGACCTAAAGTATATTCCAACCTATTTCAGCTTATTCCAACAGGGCCAAGTTCTCTTCCTCAATGTCCATCAGATTTCACACCAACTGTGACTAGGATGAATTTCCCACAGCTGTGTCAAAGTTGTCCTCACTTAGCCATGATTTCAAGCAAGATATTCTGCTTGTTCTTCTTCAGAAAGAAAACAGCTCTAGGCCTATGACACCAGAGGCCTAAAACTGGTGTGTGAAGAAGCGTCAGGAGCTGCTGGGATCTGTGGTCAGCTCCTTCATATGGTCAGCCCCGGAATTGCATGTGGCAGCTTCCAAGGAGAAGTACCTTCAGGTCCGACCTAGACAGAGTCTGTCCACACATAATGTCCATTGAGTCCTTCAGGACAGGAAGGAGTATAAGAAGACTTCCTGTCCCAGTTAATCCTTGACTGCAGAACTGCATTGCAAAATTCTGAGAACTGTGAATTTTAAAGGATGGCTTCATTTTGGTTCACTTGTTTCAGGAAGTGCAAATTAGGTAGATTCACCTTTCAGTGGGAACTGAACTGAATTTCTGCCCCATCCCTAGTCTAGACTCTTTTACTTTCTTGATTCTGTCTCCATTCATAGGTATTTTCACTGACTCCAATGCAGCTAGATTTGGTGCATGGAAGAATCAGTGTAGGATTTTGTTGGAGATGTTGTTCGGATGCCTTCCATTCTGAACTTAAAAATGGAAAGTGTAATGCTGATGGTCAACAAAAGAGGTTTAAAGACTCTCTCAAGGCAAGTCTAAAAAAATTGGGAATCACTGGCCTGCAAGCGTTCCAGCTGGAGAACAGCCTTTACCAAACGTATCATAGACTTGAAGACACTCAACTCAGGACAAAAGGGAGAAAGGGAGAAACGTGCTAAGATGAAGGTGTGTTTGGCAAACTCTCACCATAATCAACTCCCACCCGGAAACCTATATCCCCACTGTGGAAGGACGTGTGGATCCAGAATTGGCCTCCACAGTCACTTACAGACTTACTGTTAAAACCTTGTTCATGGAAGACAAACTTACTCAGCTACAAGTAATCGCCAAAGAAAAAGAAGAAGTCCATCACAGTGAACTCAGATGTCCTTGTTCAGGGTAAATTCCACTTTCTGTCGTGTTAATAAAGTGTGAAAATATGGTCCCAGAATAGTTGCAAACCATCACTTTCATTTCAGCATTACTGCTGGCAAGGTCAACTCGCACAAAAACTGACATCATTCTTTTTACACCCCTGCTATGAAAGTTCAGCATGCAAGACTTGCAATCTGGTTTGAACCTGGCTGAATGCTTAGCTTAAAACTAGAAAAATTCATTAAAGAATTCCGCTTTTACTGGGCAAGGACTGCAGGGTCACAACTCAAGCTTTTCTTCTATGTCTGTCCGCCCTTCTGTCCGACTGTCTATCCTAATTTTATACTGTTTAATATAATAATAAAATCAATGACATTCAATAAAATTCCCTCAAAACTAGATAAAAACTAAATGCAATACTAAAACACAATAAAGCTATATCTCACAAATAAAACTGAGCAGTAAATAATAAATACATGGCTGACTTCTGGGTTCACAGGCACTTCAGGTATAGAGGGCTATGCTAAAATATTACTTTTAATACCAGTGGTCTGTGGAGAAAACATATTGCAGGGGGACAGAGAACTTTGATGCTTTCTTTCCAAGCATCGGGGAGGGGTGGGGTTCATCTGTCATCTTGTTTGTAAGTAAGTAAGCCAGCCTCCCACACTTGGAATTTTCCCTTATCCAGAGAAATGAACAGAAATCTCCCCCCCTTTTTTTTTCAATGGAAGAATGAGGCAAATAAAACGGAAAGGCAAGTTTAGTCCAGCACTGAATCAGGCTGCAGGCTTCCCCCATTCTTCCAGAGAGTTGGCGGTAGTGACTGCATCAGTATAATGAATACAAAATAAATAAGCAATAGATTAATTCAGCAAAAGCACACGCTCCAGTAAAATGCTTTGAAATTATCCCCCTCCAACTTGATTTGTGCTTTGTTGAGTGTGTCAAGTCGATACTCTCACATTTTCCAAAGGAAGCAAGAATGAAAAAGGTGCTTCCTTTGCTAAAGCAGCTCATCTTTAAAGCATCTGGCCAATGTCAATAGGACCAGAAACCAAGGAAATTACGAACCAGAACATGTTTTTGAACGTCCGTAGTAGGACAGCATTTTGGATAACAAGACTGCCTGCTGCAGGTCAAGGACACACAACACCAAAATTATAGCATGGCATGGTGTAGCAACGTCCTCTAGATGTGGTTGGACTACAATTTCCATCATCCCAGACCACTGGACTTGCCGGCTGGGACTGATGGGAGCTGGAGTCCCTGATGTTATTGTACACTACAGTACAGCATAAATCTGCTGAGCCGGTAGAGAGATGGAGACTGTGTTCCTACAGCAATTTATTGCATTTCCCTGGTAGTTCCTGAACTGTTATATTATATTTGAGCTTTCACATATTGTAAAGCCCGCTTCTGTAAACATAGCAGATTATAGCATGAGTTTAGAGCTCATTCACATGTTATTTGGGGGGGCAGGGAAGATATTTTTTTCCAGAAGCATATAACGCAGAAATGGATACTAAACTTGTGCTATATTCTGCTATATTTCTGGAAGCGGCTTTTACATTGTGTGAAAGCTCAAACAGAGTGCAGAAATCAAAAGTTAGGGAAACATCGGGAAAGCAGAATAAACTACCATGTTGAAAAAGCCAGAGAGATCAACAAGTGAAAAAGTCCACTTTCTGACCTGATCTGAGCTGAGACAGGGGACAAGAAATAACCCATTTCTCACCACATGGCCAGAAAGTGTTTCTAAGAGAGACCCAGCTTACCAATTTGATTCCTGCTTGCTGAATAAAAGGCATTGACGACAGCTGCGCCACTTATCCACCTATGAAAAATTGAAGAGACATGGAAATGTTGATGATGGATGGCATCAGGGCCCGATTTAGGTTTGATGAGGCCCTAAGCTCCTGAAGGTAATGGGGCCCTTTATATGTCCAGCTGTCCTTTGTCAACAACAAATTGTCACTGTTTTTTGTGTTGAATATATGCTATACGGTAATTTATGAACCTTATAGGTATCTAAAGCCATTTGCACATAACAAATAGGAGCCTACGCAACACAAAACACTGTTGCTGTATGTAGGTTTTGTTTTATTTGTTTTTTATCTTATATTTTGGAAATGTACATTCAGGTTTGTTTTTTAAAATTTTTTGGGAGGCCCCAAGGGAGTGGGGCCCTAAGCTATAGCTTGTTTACCTTATATGTAAATCTGGCACTGGATGGCATCAGCAAGAGGAGAAAACTGAGTTGGAAGGGATCTTGAGGGTCATCTAGTCCAACCTCCTACAATGCAGGGGTCCTGGGTGGGCTGGAACCACCAACCTTCTGGTTAACAGCTGGATGCACTGATGCAATGTGTCACAGGAGGCAAAATCCCCCTGGCATGTTCTCATGAATTTCAAGTCTCGTTGAAATGAATGGGTGCCATGGAGGAATACACTACACCATACTGATAGAAGACTGAAAGCCTGATTCAGCATTCAGTTCCCTGGTAAGCTTGTTTGCCTGTCAGCTCAGCTGGGCAAATGGGTGGGCAGCATGACCGAAGGCCACTGCACCCATGGAGGCTCCCTACCGACATGCTAACGAATGCCCATAGATCATGACAGGGGCTGCTCCCTAGCACATGGATTCAGTTTTACTCCTACTGGACCTTTGCAAGGAGCTCTGGTTTAGTGGGAACCTGAGTTAGCATTAATCACAGGTCACACTGGTGCTGACATACCACTGAAGCGCAGTTAAGCTCAATGGGGGACAGTTTAGGGGAATTGATCCTGAGAATATGTGTGCATTGCCCTCCCTGCAAGAGTTTTCCATTCCAGTCTTTTAATAAGAACAGTGCACACAAAGAAATTACGAGGTATAGTATTTCAATTCCTGATTGCTGTCACACTAGCAATAGAATTCAAGATTCCCCAACTTTGTTTTAAAATCATGAGACCTGGTGCAAAGGCAAAGATATCTCCTTTAACATGAAGTTAAGATGAACCCTTCTGGCTACTAACAGGTGCCACTTTTGCAAATAGCCAGAACCAGATTATTATTATTTTTTAAGCACTACATTCACAGTGTAAACCATTTAAATACGTACTCTTCCTTGTCCACTTTTTCTCTAAGCTTCTTCAGCCTTTCCTTCTGGCTAAAGTTTAAGTTCTGAATAATGTTCTCAAAATATTCTTCTTCTTTGTAGTGCAGCTTACAGGAAAGAGAGAGAAATGCTCGTGTTATTTGCTGGAGGGTAGGGAAAAACTAGGGACATGGGTGGCGCTGTGGGTTAAACCACAGAGCCTAGGACTTGCCGATCAGAAGGTCAGCAGTTCGAATCCCCACAACGAGGTGAGCTTCCATTGCTCAGTCCCTGCTCCTGCCAACCTAGCAGTTCGAAAGCACATCAAAGTGCAAGTAGATAAATAGGTACCGCTCCGGTGGGAAGGTAAACAGCATTTCCGTGCGCTGCTCTGGGTCGCCAGAAGTGGCTTAGTCATGCTGGCCACATGACCCGGAAGCTGTACGCCGGCTCCCTCAGCCAATAAAGCGAGATGAGCACTGCAACCCCAGAGTCGGTCACGACTGGACCTAATGGTCAGGGGTCTCTTTACCTTTACCTTTAGGGAAAAACTAGAGGAGCATTTTTGCTCGAGTAGTATTCTTCCCCAACTTCGCACCCCCCATATGTTTTGGACTATGGCTCCCATCAGCTGGAATAGAGGAACTGCTGTGTGGACTGTGTAATAATAATAATAATAATAATAATAATAATAATAATAGTTTGAATTTGATATCCTGCTTTATCACTACCCGAAGGAGTCTCAAAGCAGCTAACATTCTCCTTTCCCTTCCTCCCCCACAACAAACACTCTGTGAGGTGAGTGGGGCTGAGAGACTTCAAAGAAGTGTGACTGGCCCAAGGTCACCCAGCAGCTGCATGTGGAGGAGCGGAGACGTGAACCCAGTTCACCAGATTACGAGTCTACCGCTCTTAACCACCTCACCACACTGGCATAAAGCTTTTCACTTATACCTCCAATGTAGACACTTGGTACCTGCTACCATTAAATCTTAAACACTCTCTGCTGTCCAAAATAGTTTTTCAGATGTACTTACATCTTTGTATTCCACATTCAGCTTATTAGTATCCGTCAGAATCTCATCAGGGTAGCCAATCCTTTCTCTGATTGCTATGGCCTAAAAAATAAACCATGGTCACTGGAGAACTGGAATCAAGTTGTACATTCAGACATCATAGGGATGGCGAGAAGTTATCTACAGGCTTTTCAATTTGCTCTTCTAGATTTTGCAAACCAGGCCCACTCAATGAGTGGTGGTCTGGGCAACTGCTACTTTGCTTATGATACCAGTTCCCAAAGTGGTTTTGGAAGCGTTGGGAAACTCAAGTCTTCCTTGTCCTTGTTGTATCCTGAAGCTGCTCTTCTTTGCCATGGCCTCAGACACATGAGATATGTATTTTTATGGCTCTGTTCTTGGGACTGTGATATATTTTAACTGTTTTTCATGTTGAATTTTAGATGGCTGTAACCTGACCTGCTAGTGAAGAGCAGGTAATCATAATAATATCACCCAAGAAGGGCTGGGAGAGCAATTTGCCTGAAACCCAAGGAAGTCACTGGCAGTCAACACAGACAATACTCATCTATGTTGCTATGACAATGAAATAAGCCCATATGTCACATCAGGGCTTCCACAACTTGGGTCTCCAGCTGTTTTTGGACCACAATTCCCATCAGCCCTGACCACTGGTCCTACTAGCTAGGGATGATGGGAGTTGGTCCAACAACAGCTAGAGACCCAAGTTTGGGAAACCCTGTGTTACATGAAGAATGTTCTACCTGTTCCACTCTTTGCAATGAATTATTTCTGATCTTCTCTTTTGGAGAAAGAAAGTAACAGGCTTTCATTGGCCTCCAAATGTCAAATTCTATTATATATATATATAAAAATTATAAACTTGCCTTTTCTTCTGCTTTCTTTTTGGTTTCTGCATCCATCCAATTGAGCTCATCAAGTGTTTGTATAAAAACCTCACGAATCTGAGTGATCATCTCTTGCACCTGAGGATGTACAGCACAACAAGATTAAATCATTCAATTTTTATCATACATGGGTGACATTCTGGCATGTTGCATCCCAGTTGCCACTGATGGAAGCATCGGCTTTTGTTTTTCAAAATAGACTGACAATGACTGTTTTTATTTTTCAAGGTCAAATTACGGCAAAGCCAAAGTTACCAAGGAGTGGAGTTATTGCAAAAGAAAAAAAAACACCTTTGTTACATTTCTATGCCTTCAAATGAAAATATAGTGGTATATCTATGCTGCAGACTTATATTGGTTTAAATACTAGTTCATCTGCCATGGCTTCCACTAAAGATTCCTGGAAAGGGGAGTTTGGTGAGGTTGCTGAGAATTTGTGGTCCTAGCCTCCTCCTAACAGAACCACTGATGCTAGTAACGAAAAAGGTAAAGGACTTTCGATGCTTAAGTCCAGTCAAAGGTGACTATGGGGTGCAGAACTCATCTCACTTTTCAGGCCAAGGGAGCTGGTGTTTTTCACAGACAGCTTTCCAGGTCATGTGGCCAGCATGACTAAATCACTACTGGTTCATGGAGGACTGTAACAAGTGCCAGAGTGCACAGAAATGCTGTTTACTTTTCCGCCGCAGTGGTACCTATTTATCTACTTGCATTGGCATGCTTTCGAACTGCTAGGTTGGCAGGATCTGGGACAGAGCAATGGGAGCTCACCCATTGTGTGGATTCGAACTGCCAACCTTCCGATCGGCAAGCCCAAGAGGCTCAATGGTTTAGACCAAGGTGCCACCCGTGTCCCATAGATGCTAGTATCCCTTAAAGGTAAAGGGACCCCTGACCATTAGGTCCAGTCGTGACCGACTCTGGGGTTGCGGCGCTCATCTCGCTTTACTGGCCGAGGGAGCCGGCGTACATCTTCCAGGTCATGTGGCCAGCATGACTAATCTGCTTTTGGCAAACCAGAGCAGCGCACGGAAACACCGTTTACCTTTCTGCCGGAGTGGTACCTATTTATCTACTTGCACTTTGATGTGCTTTCGAACTGCTAGGTTGGCAGGAGCAGGGACCGAGCAACAGGAGCTCACCCCATTGCGGGGAGTCGAACCACCAACCTTCTGATCAGCAAGTCCTAGGCTCTGTGGTTTAACCCACAGCGCCACCCGCGTCCCGTATCCCTTAGTGAGAAGTGAATACTATTAAAGCAGTAGCAGCTTGTAGTTTAGAGCCAAACAAGATGTGACTCGCATGAAAGCCCATAATGTGCACATTTTGGTTACGTAAACAGGAGCCAAGCTGGGAAGCTTGAAGAGCCTCATAACTGTGAGGGCAGGAGGGCTGAGGATGCTTAATTCTTTCTCTTCCTGCTGTGGTCCTGACTAGAATCACCATTCCAATGCTACAATTTGTATTTAGGAAGGGCAGTAACTCAATGGTAGAGCATCTGTTTTGCATGCAGAAGGTCCCAGGTTCACTTCCTGGTGCCTTCAGGTAGGACTGGGAATGTCCCCTGTCTGAAACCCTAGAGAGTTGCTGCCAGTTAATGCAAAGCAGTGCACATCTATGGTTCCACCTCCTATTAACCTGACCCAGCATGGCCAAAGGTCAGGGACGATGGGAGTCTGCAGGACACCACACAGACAACTACTGGGCAACATTGAGCTGGATGGATCAATGATCTTTCTTGGTATAAGTCATCTTCCTGTGTTCTCATCTCCATGTAAAGAGAAATTCCCCATTGGCACCATTTGCAAAGCTGCTTAGGCTTCCCCGCAGCTGCTATTAATGCAACAATACGTGCATTCTCAGGATTGGAGTCACATCTAGTTTGGTCCTAAGTGACCCTCCAAGTCTCCTTTATGAAAATATAATCACCAGTCCTTCTTGAGCTGCTTCCGTCTTATTCATATGGTAGACCCGGGGACACCTCACTCTGCAGCAGACTAATAATGAGGCATGTACGTATGGCCTCCTGCTGCTTTGGCGCACACATGCATGCAGTGCCGGATTTATGTATAAGCTAAACAAGCTATAGCTTAGGGCCCCACTCTCTTGGGGGTCCGGTCCCAAAAAAAAATTAAAGAAAAAAGACACTGGATGTACATTTCCAAAATATGAGATAAAAAAACAAATAAAATAAAACCTACATACAGCAAGAGTGTTTTGTGTTGTGCAAGCTCTTATGATGTAAGTAATGGGCCCCGTCTGCTAGCCTGCTCCTTAAAATATCACTATCACTATTAATATACTTCTTCTTAATTGTATTTTAGTTCAATCATTGCTTTGATAAAATACTTATTTATTATGTGCAAATGGCTTTAGATACCTATGAGGTCCACAAATTACCATATAGCATATATTCAACCCAAAAAAGCAGCAACAATTTGTTGTTGACAAAAGGACAGCTGGACATATAAAGGGCCGCATTACCTTCAGTAGCTTAGGGCCTCATCAAACCCAAATCCGGTCCTGCACGCATGTATACAAAGGTGTTTTTTAATCATCTTTGTGGCTTGCCTTTCTCTAGGTGTATGTATGCCCATTGTATAGATTCCACTCTTTGGCAAGTCACCTAACTGGTTGCTGAAATTTGTGAAGATGGAACACATTCACCAAACTCCCAGTCCAGCAAGGAATACTCTGAATGCAGGTGATTCACCCACCATAAGATGGGTGGAGGGGTAACTGCCTGCATCAGGAAGCCCATATAATCAATATAATCCTTCCAGCCACAAACTCATAGGTACAGGGCCAGATGGCAATACCTGCTGCTCTGCTTATGGAGACACCCCCACCCCCAGTTGTGGGAGTAAACTTCCCATCTTCCAATGACCATCTGTTCAGCAGGATGAAGACAGAGCTCTGCAGATCACCATTTCTTTCATAGATACATAGATCCAGGGCAATTGTGATTATATGAGGACTCATGATTAGCTTGGAATACATTATTCTTATTGACATGTTTCCTTACTGGCCACTGCTCCTGTGGAGAAGGCTGCAAACCCCAATGGTTTCTTTTGAAGCATTAGACAAAATAAAAATAAAATGGTATTTGTAAATCTATTCTAAGATGGGGGGGGAATCAATTAACACACCCCTCCCCAATTTCAGCAAAGTGTATTAAACTGAATTTCCTTTCCTGTAATCTACTGTTCTTTAGCACCTTCACTCTACAACATGCAAGGACTTCTAATCTGCATCATTAGCTAATAACTTGGCTTATAGTCCAGGAAGAGACACATAATCCCATCATTAGCCTGTCTGCCAAAAGATGTCTCTTCCAGCTTCTTAAGCCTACTTTTCAAAAAAAACCTCAGTGTGGAGATGTAAAGTTTCATCTCTGCTTTTGGCAGCAGAATTCTGTCCTACTGAGTGCCAAACAGAGAGAGTGATCTCTTTTGACTTCATCCTCATTCACCACTGCACTGGGGGGGGGGGGAGTGGCTTGAAGTATTTTGTGCTGCAACAACATCACTGCTTTTGCCATTCCCACCAATAATCCAAAGCTAACGTCTGTTTAAATACCCAGTAAATAAATAATCAGTTAATGATCTAAGAGTGTTACCACGTGTTTACTGTCTCCAGCAAATGCTTCTTGTACATACAGCCTTCCCACAGCATTCTCCATGTTGCCATTGACATAGTTTGCGCAACGGCGCCAGACAGCAGCATCCGAGGTTGTGCCGTAAAGCACCTGTTAAGCGTAAGCATTTGAGAAATTAGTGACAAGCAAGAGGAGAGACTTTGTAGCATCACTAGGTGCTTTCAATTAATCTCGTGGGCTTGGTGTTAATAGACATTAAGTGATATTTAAACAGGAACACAGGTTAAGTGAGCCCATGCAACTCTCTCTGCATCTTCCTGTTTGCAGCTATGAAATGTTCTCCCACCCATCTGCTGCTCCTGCCATTGCATTAGCACTGCACCTTCCACTTGGCCACAACCTCCTCCTCCTCTTCTCCTCAGTAAATGACAGTGACCCACCCGCGGGAAAGCTAAAGTAGTGGCTCTGCCCCAACCAGTGAGCCTCTTCTGGATATAAACCCACTTTCTGGGTAATATGGAGGGCCCAGTGTGGAGACACCATTCATTCAAGGCTGCATCCTACAGGGAATGAGCCCTATGAAAATCAAAGTGACCTAGACTGCTGCAGAACAGCTGGCTTTGCCTGTGTTCATTGCGTACTACTTTTTGATACAACAGGAGTTCCTTCCTTTCCCTTTGGTGTCCTTTAAGGATGCTGACCATAAAGAAGGCTGATCGCCGAAGAATTGATGCTTTTGAATTATGGTGCTGGAGGAGACTCTTGAGAGTCCCGTGGACTGCAAGAAGATCAAACCTCTCCATTCTGAAGGAAATCAGCCTTGAGTGCTCACTGGAAGGACAGATCGTGAAGCTGAGGCTCCAATACTTTGGCCACCTCATGAGAAGAGAAGACTCCCTGGAAATGACCCTGGTGCTGGGAAAGATGGAGGGCACAAGGAGAAGGGGACGACAGAGGACGAGATGTTTGGACAGTGTTCTCGAAGCTACAAACATGAGTCTGACCAAACTGCGGGAGGCAGTGGAAGACAGGTGTGCCTGGCGTGCTCTGGTCCATGGGGTCACGAAGAGTCAGACACAACTAAACGACTAAACAACAACAAATAACAAAGGATGCTGGGGGCAGGTAGTTCAGTGGAAGAGCAGTGGTTTTGCATGCAGAAGGTCCAAGGTTCAATCCCCAACATCTCCAGGTAGGGCTGGAGATGTCCTCTGTCTGAAACCCTAGAAAGCCACTACCAGTCATTGTAGACCAGGAGTATTCAATGTGGTGCCCTCCAAATATGGCCGGATTCCAATTCCCATCTACTGTAGCCAGCATGGCAAATGGTTGGAGATGATGGGAGTCATAGTCATGGAGAGTGTGCCATGACAACAGCTAGATGACCCAATGACCTGTCTCATTATAAGGCAGCTTCATCTGTTTACATGTTCCTGTGAGAAAGCTGGCAGGGCTCAGCGGGCAGGGCTCAGCAACAGGTGGGCTGAGGAATTTCCTGAAGAACCGGTTTGCAAGTGCCATACGGATTACTGTCATATCTCTCCCCTGCAGAAAGAGCTCCCAGTCAATTTCACAGCTCTGCATGCAAACCATTAGAGCTAGATGAAACTTTGAAGCTTCAGTGAAACTTACTACTGTTTCATGTGCCTTCTATTGCCTGCAAAGAAAGCAGTATCCTTGGGCTGTGCAGATTCTACCTTCAGTGACCTTGCTGCACTAGGTGAGAAGAAGCCGAGGCTTAAGAACTCCGCTATGGTAGAGAAATCTGATACAGTCGTGTTAGTAAGCATCAAAGCAATCTTCTGGCAAGCTGAGTTCTTCGTTCCACGGCCCACCACAGTGGTTTTCTTGCTTTATATTTTGAAAAGAAGTATATTATTACGGAAGGGTCAGTTCAAAGTTATTCTGACTTCAGAAAGACACTGGCTTTGGGGTGATGGCAGTGTAGAAGATTTCATGGTTACGTTCTGGAATGCAGTTTTTATTCACCAGTTTTTAATTTTAAGACAAACAAACGTGAATCCATTCATTGCTTTGTTTTCAACTGTAGCCCACAATAACCTTTAAGGTCCCATTATCTCCTACCACATCAGTGTGCTGTCAAAAGAAAAAAAATTCTTTGGGGTCCGGTTTCACCACAAGACCTTGAAACAGTGTATGAGGGAACTCTTGGAATTCTATTGCTTATTTCTGCTTGGATACAGAGTGATTCTGAAGCCTGCTCACTTGTGGTCTGCTTGGCTGGCTCCACCTCCACCAAAGCCACTGATTGGATTATTTGAACCGGGGTTTGGCGGGAACCCCCAATTACTGCGACGTAAGGAAGGTGGGCCAGCACAACCAGCTGATAAGTCTCATGTGGCTCAGGGGTGCTGTGCGCGGTCCCGCAAAGGGCGCCCACAATCGGAGGCGTTAGCGTTCATTCTGCTGCCACTACCATCTCTGGCACAGCACCAAAAGTGTGTCTGTGTGGAGCCCACTTTATCAGCCACACATGTTGCCAACAACCTGTGCATTTCAAAAAACCTCCATTGATCACGGTAGAATCTTTCCATATGAATATATCCAGCGCTACATGGGGGTAACATGGTCTATGCTGAGAAAACTGTTCACCCCATCTGGCGTGGCCAGTGGTCTGCAATGATGGGAGCTGCAGTCTAGCAGCAATTGGTCATTGCCCATGCCTGGTTTACAGCTTAGTGTGTGGACAGTGAATTAAGCTAGCAAGGTTGCAAAAATGATGTCGTTTTCCCTCACTACTGAAATAGTTATTTCTGTATCTTTCTCCACAGTTGCCAGTTCACTTGACCTTGTGTCTGAAGTTCTAAGTAATCATTTATGAATTCCACCCTTTGGACGAAATTAAAGGCGCTGGGAAAAAATAGGTTGTTTTCGGTCCTAATAAGTGCATAAAGAACGAGGCAGAGAGGAGGCATTATCAGTAAAACTGGAAGAAAAGAACAGCCTGCCTCTAGTCTAACTCCCTTGAAGACTGCATTGTTTCAGAATCCCCCCCCCTTTTCTTTTCAACGGGCCTGTGATTTAGCACTGCAAAAGAATATCTGAACAGAGTTCAGAGTTTCGACTTCTAATTTGTTTCACCCCTACAAACACTCATATAGACATCTCAGATCCCGAAATAAAGACAACATGGGCTGCAATCCCGTCAAAGTTAAGCTCCTTTTGGCCTACTTATTTCAAGAGGACAACTCAGCTCATGTATGCTTCCCCGCTGAAATCAGTGGGACTTAACTTTGGTTGGATTGTGCCCTTTGTTTGTAACACAATGCAGCATATAGTGATGTTGGATTTGGTATTTCTATGTTTCATTAACTGCCTTGGGCACTTTTTCTTAAAGATGGAGTAGCAAGCTAGAAATCGAATACATAATATAAGCAGAACCCATCTGCTATGGTCAATTCACTAGTGGCCATGGAAAACACAGACTACAGCAGACACACACACACCACGCACAATTCTCCTATGGGTGCAATCTCCTGTTTAAAGAAGAACAAAATAAACTCCAGTTTGCTGGACAGAGAACTAGTGGAGCAACTTTCTTCAACCTGGGGCAAGAAGTTGGGGGAGGCTGTATTAGAGGTAACATTTACCGTTCTGTATACGCTGTCTGAAAACATGCATGGTCCCAATCCAATGACAGTGCATTTTTCAGAAGAGAAATTGCACATGAGTTTCCTGGCTCTGCCTTTGTTTATCCAGCTATATTGACCTTTCTTTCCTTCTAGAGATGTGCTGGCCCAACTCCATGGCTCCTAATCACAATGACATTTCCACAAACCAGCTTTTGCCCGTCCCCATCTAGCCAATGTCTGGGCACCCCCAACAATCACCATGTACTTTCACCTCTATAGATTCTGAAACCTGTTTATCCAGTTCAAGAAGAGGACAAGTTGGACTTATATAAACCTCATGCCTCTTGAGCTTCTTGGACAAAAGGCAAGGTAAACAAACAATTGCCTGCTTTTTCCCTGGAGTGATTTGCAAGAGCCGTTTAGGTGATCAGGAGGACACCTCTGAAATCCTTGGGATTTCAGAGAACATTTTAAAATCTGTTTTCTAAATATTGGCTCACCCGTATCAATTCCACATGCCTGTCCCAATGCAGTTCTTGTTGCCCTCAGATTTATATGTGCCAGAGCATAGATAGGGATTTGATGTTTTGTTTTGTTTTTTTCAAAAACATGCATTTACATGAGGACAGGTGCTCTCTTCAGGTATTTGGGACCCAAGCCATTTAGGCTTTAAAGACAAATAGCTGCAGTGTGCATTGGGCCCAAAAGGAAACAAGACAGCCAATGGTGTCATTTTATATTAGGTTTGATGTGCATAGACCTGGTTGCATTACCAGCAAGTGGTATGAATGCCAGCAATACACTTTATGAACACCTACAGCACCCTCATACTGAATCATCTAGCTTGGCATTGTCTACACTGACATTGGCTCTTCAAGGTCTTGGGCAGAGGCATTTCTGATATCCTTAAGTGAAGACTGCTTCTTAAAAAACCATCTTTAGATGCAGCCAATATGGCCAACTATTGCCCAGTCTCAAATCTTCCATTCTTGGGCAAGGTGATTGAGTGAGCGGTTGCTGAACAACTCCAGGCACACCTGGAAGAAGTGGACCATTTGGATCCCTTCCAGTCGGGATTCAGGCCTTGTCATGGGACTGAAACTGCCTTGGTTGCACAGGTCGATGATCTCCTGTGGGCTAGGGACAAAGGTGAGAGCTGTTTCCTAGTTCTGCTGGATCTCTCAGTGGCTTTTGACACCATCGACCATAACATCCTTCTGGACCGTCTAGAGGGGCTGGGAGCTGGGGGCACTGTTATACAGTGGCTCCACTCCTTTTTCCTGGGCCATGTTCAGAAAGTGGTGGTGGAGGATAAGTATTCAGACCCCTGGGCTCTCACTTGTGGGGTGCCTCAGGGTTCTGTCCTCTCCCCCATGTTTTTCAACATCTACATTCAGTCGCTGGGAGAGATCATCAGGGGGTTTGGGTTGGGTGTTCATCAGTATGTGAATGATACCCAGCTCTACCTCTCTTTCAAATCAGAACCAGTGAAGGCAGTGAAGATCCTGTGTGAGTGTCTGGAGGCAGCTGGAGGATGCATGGCAGCTAACAGATTGAGGCTGAATCCTGACAAGACAGAAGTACTGTTTGTCTACCCATGGTTTAGACACTGCAAATCTTAAATGTTAAATATAAAACAAAATATGAATTTCTGCACCTTACGGAAATTATTCCTTGTGTCCCTGTAGTTACGACTTAGAGTGTTTACCATATCCATTATGTATCTCCAGCTCATGTAGTTCTGAATTTCTCTAAATGATAAAACAAGAAGTAGAATCTTGTGACTTTTCTTTTTAAACAGTGGAACGTATTAGCAATGTAAAAAGCAAAACTTTAAAATGTATCTTGCATACATACCTGGGAGAGTATTTATTAAGGATAGCTTTTAGCTTGTTGAGATAGTCTGGAGCATAAACAACCACATCTTCAGTTTCGCCAATATTAATTTGCACAGTTGACATGATATGGTTTATGAATGTTAACCAGTTGAATTGCTGGAAGAAAAATGAATGCACTTTAACTTATGACATGTGAATAAAAGCGTAAGAAAAACGCATTGGTGATCATTAACTCTTTTACGGTTTCTTGTGCTGAGTGACTTGTGTGCCTTGGGAAGATTTCAGGCTGCAATCCTCTACACTCATTTGGAAGTAAGTATCATTGAACACACTGAGACTTTTTTTTTCTAAGTACAGTGGTGCCCCGCAAGACGAATGCCTCGCAAGACGGAAAAACCGCTAGACGAAAGGGTTTTCCGTTTTGGAGTTGCTTCGCAGGACGAATTCCCCTATGGGCTTGCTTCGCAAGACGAAAATGTCTTGCGAGTCTTGAAATTTTTTTTTCGCTTTCCCCCCCCCTTTATCTAATCTGCTAAGCCTTTAATAGCCTTTAATAGCCTTTTAGCAGCTAATCCCCTAAGCCTTTAAGCCTTTAATAGCCGCTAAACCGCTAATAGCGCTAATAGCGCTAATCCGTCAATGGGCTTGCTTCGCAAGACGAAAAAACCGCTAGACGAAGACTCTCGCGGAACGGATTAATTTCGTCTTGCGAGGCACCACTGTAGACATGCATATGTCTGTTGTGTTCTGTATTCCTTAATGATATATTGGATTTACATCTTGCCAACCTCACCTAGGATGGCTCACAAGCAAAAATAACTTGCCACAACTATAATAGCAAGCTAATATTATATATTGGGGTGGGGTGGGGAATCTAGTGAAAATCAGAAGTATATTATATAAAAATTGAAATTTTGAAAAAGCAACCATTTTTAAAAGGAAACGGTGCTGGCCAATTAAAACTGTCCTCATCATTTATGAAAAGTGCCATTCACTTTTGCCTGTTGCCTTTTGGCTCTCCACAGCCAGACTGCTGCTGTAAACAAATTCCTCATACATAACAAGGGGGGGGGGAGCCCATTTGGTAGATAACAACAAACCTCTGTCCAGTAATGTGTCTTGGAAGCTCTTGGCCAATAGGCAATAAACTAAGCTGAATTCATTTCAATTAAGGTTAATGAGCTGTAAAACAATCCTAAGTGCCCTTATGTTGTGATTACAATCTTGATAATCAAAGGGACTTGTTGGACATGATCCAACCATAGTTGATTTTGGCACCCTGATTCAAACCAATGATTTTTTTTTAAATCAACATTGGATGCAATTTTATATTTCTTTTTTTCTTTTAGGATTTGATATTTGAATTTGAGAACTGGAATTTGGCACAAAAAAATCATATTTGACTGTTAACATGTTTACAATTTCCCTGCCAAATGGTAAAAGAATGGATGAAATTTACTGAACGTTATTGCAAATATCATGTCCAATATTGACTACTACATGATAGCTGTGTATACTGCCAAATACAGATTGCTATTTAGCTATTAGATGCTAACTGTTGCTGATGTGGAATATTGATGTTTTTGAGGGATAGGAATTCATTTTAGTTCCAAACCTGATCTGATGAATCTGCTTAGCTTGCCACCCTCCCTCCCCCAAAGTCACTGTTGGTTTCCTGGATGGGGCCAGAATGGGATGGCAGCAAAGTTGGGGCCACACACTTGTACCGGCAGGTAGTATTGTAATATGTCCAAGACCCATGAAATATTAGTTTTGTTTTATATTTTCTCTATTTTTTATTAAATGTCCCCCACCCCTTGCATATAAATACATAACAAACCAAACCAAACGATTAATAGGTTGAAAGGCAAGTTCACCGACACAAAAGTCCCTTAATCAACTGACAGGCTTATAAATAGATCACAAAGGCCAAGGACCTCAGCCTTTGGACTTACAGAAACTGTCACATTAATCATCTTTCCTTAATGCGTATTAGATAAACGGTAAAAGGTAAAGGTAAAGGGACCCCTGACCATTAGGTCCAGTCGTGGATGACTCTGGGGTTGCGGCGCTTGAGGGAGCCAGCGTACAGCTTCTGGGTCTTGTGGCCAGCATGACTAAGCCGCTTCTGGTGAACCAGAGCAGCGCACGGAAACGCTGTTTACCTTCCCGCCGGAGCGGTACTTATTTATCTACTTGCACTTTGACGTGATTTCGAACTGCTAGGTGGCAGGAGCAGGGACCGAGCAACGGGAGCTCACCCCATCGCGCGTATTCAAACCGCTGACCTACAACCACAAGCCCTAGGCTCTGTGATTTAAAAATATAAATATATGCTAGACTTCAACCATTTTTGATACCTACCAGTAAACTTTGTCTAGCTATCAACTACATGAAACACTTGATATATTTTCTGTGGATCCTGATCTACCCGGCAAAATATGCATGGCGAAAGAGCCTCATTAATTAGCATAGTTCCAAGGCTTCAGCCATTCTTAATCTGGCTTGATGCTTGTATGTTTTAGATCCCATAAGTTCCAGTAAAAACAAAAAAACTGCTCCCACTTTCCAGAGATATGATGCTGTGGCAAGGTAGGGGCTGCATGAGTGCGCCATTGAAATCACTGGACTGGCTCTGCTCAGGCTTAACCTCAGCACCACTTCATTTCTAGTAAGCAGCAGCCATGTTGCAGCTGGGAAACCAGCAATGAAGCCCTGCCTTGCTGGACAAACCACTTCTGACTATTTAGCGTGATCATCAATTGTTTCAAAGGGCACCACATGCACACCACTGGATCAGGACCTTCGTTGTCTTTTTTCTTGCTTTCACGGCAGAATACAACAGGCTGACAAATTTAGGTCATCATTTTCAGTTCAAAAGAAGAGTTCATGTCACACCACTGCATTGATTATAGCCAGTCACTGAAGGTGAAAAAAACTGCTATTGATCTTTTACCTGGTTATTAACTTCAAAAGTGAAGTTCTTCTGGACATTGGCGAGTGTCATTTTATTGTACAGCAGGAGAGGGTCGTTTCTGTCATCAGCTTTGGTTGTAGCCTAGAAAAACAAATTAGCAGGAGACAGAGGAGATTCTTTGAGGATGCAACAGCAAAAACAGAGACACATAGAAGCATCAAACAAATAGGCACCAAGATCTCTAAATCATATAATTGAAGGTGCTTAAGCTGTCTTGTTAAAATATGGCAGAAATCAGAAATCACATAGCTAGCTAATTCTATTAGTCAAATGATGTTGTTGAAAAATAGATATCCTGAAAAGTTATCTGCCTCTTTCCCCCTTGATCTGTTTTCCTAGGCTCTCAGTTGTAAGCTGCATCCCCGAGAACATAGGAGGATGCTGTCTCCAGGAGCCCAGAGAGACAATCGCAGCAAGGAAATTATCTTCTCCCCCACTTAGCCATCTGTTCTGCCCTCCCATCCCATGTGGTAGCTGTGAGCATCTTCAGTCTACTAAAGCAAGTATACAATTCTTCTTCTTCTTCTTCTTCTTCTTCTTCTTCTTCTGAGTGGGAATGTTCAGGGAGGCAGGAGAGGATATATTGTTTAATTATATCCGTCCCAACTTGTTTTAACAAGTTCTACAATTTAGCAGAGTAACATTCCCTTTTTTAAAACTTACACAGCAGATAATGTTTTGCCAGGCTTGCTTAAGCCTCTAAAATAAGTTTCCTGGTAATTCCCCTTTATTCCCTCCTAAAAGGAATAGACATGACACAGTCTTATATAAAAGTATAAAAGAGTTTACTCACACGTTCTGCACTCAGATGGATCCCAGAAGGCAGACTTAAGTTACAAAATATATACAATTGGAATCTATCCCACAGGGAGATAGTTCCTTTGTCCTCTCTTGGCCGGAAGCATCTCAGGCTGATGCTTCTTTGATTAAAGTAAAATGGAGAAGAGAGAGATGTGGTGCCCAGTCCTGTGCTTTTGTTACCTGCACAGGTGAGGTCACACCCACCTCTGGTCACATGTAGAGAAAGTTTGTCCCAGCACAGGAGGAAACAGGAAGTTTATCTACTGGCTGGACAAACATCCCTCTTCATGTCTAAACATGTCCACTCTAGGAATGTTGTATTTGACTGTTCTGTGTTTCACACCCCACACAGAGGTGTCATCAAGGCATGACTTTGGGACAGGAGTCAAAATGCCCGTGCAACAGAATCAGCAGGGTTGGGTTTTCAGTTTGAAATGAGTGAACCAATACATGTTATCATCTAAAGAAGGAGCCACCCAACCCCACATAAGACCATTAGATCCATAATGTGCACCACTGATTGTATCAGTTTGCAGAAGGAGAAGGAAAAGGGCTGAATCTAATTGTGTCCTTCCATTAAAGAAGGGCTTTTCATCAGCTCCACTAGCAAAAAAAGTGGGGAGGGTATTTTGACCAATTTCACCTTCTCCTTGAAAATCAGTTTCAGTGGGTTGGGTGACCCTCCAAGAACAGCTTAAGAACCCCACACTAAACATTTTAACCTTAATCTCAGTTAATTGTGTGCATGAAAACAGAAGAGCTTATTTACATTTGCAATCTCTTTCTCCAGATCCATAACTTTGTTCATTTCTATGGAAATTTGGTTCTCGTCGATCGCAAGACCTCTTTCCTGGCGGATCAGCTTTGCTACGGAAATCATGAACTCAATATAGGCTAAACATGCCTGTAAAGGGGGAGGGGAGGAGGGGAGAGGGAAAAAAACACTTTTGCAAATGCATGTTGGATGTTATGCAGAACAGCCAAGTTGATACTTGTGCGATGTAGGCACTGTCTTTTTCTTGCAGCTTCGGGCAGAAATAAACTTGGCATGGGGCTGCCACCCAAACCAGCATGCCTGTATTGGATTCTCCACATTTCCCACGAATTGTGTAGAATTTCATGACATGGTTTTCCCTCCCTTTGTCTGCAACAGCAGCAGCTGTTCTGCAAAAAAACCCCAAAAAACCACCACATTTTTTTTCTCTCCAGTCCCAATACTCTCCAACTTTTTTAAAAAAGTGCTCTGCAAAATACGAAAAACAAGCATAAAAAATAACAATCTATCCAACCTAGCTCAGTGCAGTTCAAGTTACAAGAAAGGAGATTCCGGCTAAACATTTGGAAAAAGCTTTCTGATAGTAAGAGCTGTTCAGCAGTGGAACAGACTCCCACGAGAGGTGGTGGACTCTCCTTCCTTGGAGGTTTTTAAGCCGCAGTTGGATGGCCATCTCTCATGGATGCTTTAGCTGAGATTTCTGCATTGCATGGTGTTGGACTAGATGACTTTTGCAGTTCATTCCAACTCCAACTTCTGCAATTCTATCATTAAAAGACAAGTACGAGACTAAAGGTGCAAGAACACAACGTGCCCAAATTAACCACCAGGAGTTTACATTCATTTAATTAAATAGGATGGGGAAATGCACAATCTGGTGATGTCCCTTTTGTGGGTAAGTGAACTTACATACGATGGGGAGGAGAGAATGTGCTCTAGGGATGCTGCTGTCTGCACAAGTCCTGCATTGAGGACTGAACTAGATGTGATGCTAATCATGACATTTGTTCTTAAGTGCAGGATTTTTCTTGCAGAAATAGTCAATGAAAGGGGGCTCAATATGGATCAGGATCCTGGCCTGAGGGACTTTAGCCATTTGTCCCCTACTGTGATCCTGAGCTGAATCAGGCCTCTTGTGTATTCAATTTTCAGGAGAGAAAAAACTCCCATCTGAATGAATGGGAAGTCCAACTTCCCATGGCAGGATTAACATGACATCTGGTTTGACTCTCAGTGTGCTGTGCCATTCTACTTTATTTTACCCTTTCCCTGAACAATAATTTCTTTTACATGCACCCTTTTTTCTTTGCCCTTGTGCATTATCTTTTTAAACAGTCACAGCTTTGTTAAATTACTATTATTGAAAAGGAAAATGAATAGTTAGCTCAGGGTGCGGGTGGGAGGGCCTCACAACAATCCATGTCAAAATAATGTTAACAATAATAACAAACCCAACTGGCAAATGGTTATATGTCTCTAATTAAGACCAATCACAATGCTGTACCAGTCCTTCCTTATGAGCATAATTACATATTTCCTAATGTGTACTTAAAACCTACTGCATAAATTGCAGATTTCCTAAGCACCTTACTTAATTAGAGTTTCTGAAACTGTGGTTTCTAGACTGCGGCATCAAGCGGATGAGCTGATACCATATACTCATTACAGGAACAATGATTCCTGTGTAGTCAAATACAGTGGTGCCTCGCAAGACGAAAAGAATTCGTTCCGCGAGTCTTTTCGTCTTGCGATGTTTTTCGTCTTGCGAAGCACGGTCCGTCGCAACTGCGCCTCTTCAAGCGGCTTTTTAAAAAAAAGCGCAAGACGTTTTCGTCTTGCGAAGCAAGCCCATAGGGAAATTCGTCTAGCGAAGCAACACAAAACCGAAAAACCCTTTCGTCTAGTGAGTTTTTCGTCTTGCGAGGCATTCGTCTTGCGGGGCACCACTGTAACCAGTGTATCTTCTTCAGGTATCTGTAGGAAGTTCTGTGATCGGAGCCGGCCCTACCATGAGGCAGAATGTTGGGATGGGAGGTGCTGTCCCATCACCAGTGCTGAAGTACAACTGAACTGTGGGTCCAGTTGGATTCCACGTGTGAAATTAAAGGGTGCTATCTTGCCCTTGGACTCAAGCAGCAGAATGACTTGGGCTAGCAGTGCCTGTGATGGATGTTCTGCTTCTTATCAAAGATTCTACTCCCAAAGTGAGCATAGGAAGCTGCCTTCTGTTGAGTCAGACAAATGGCCAATCTAGCTCAGCGTTATCTACACTGACTAGCAGAACAGAGGCAGATTTAGGTCAACACAACCAATTCCACCACACTGGGTGCTGGCTCATATGCAGGCTCATTTCTCATCTATATGCAGGGTAGGTTCCTGCACAATGGGGCCCATGTGAATGAGGCCAGCAGTGTTGCCTTGAATTTCCTGTGCCAGGCATCAAAAGGGCATAACTTGATGTGACAATATGAACGTAAAGAATTTCAATATGTGATGGGACAATTTCATTTTAAATACAGAAGGAATTAAGATATAAAGAAACTAGGACATCAGAAAGGTGGTGAAGACCGCCTTTCTGATATCCACTACAGGCATATTAGCCTCAGTGAGGCTTCGGAATTAGTTAGGAAGCGAGCAGTTTTTGGAGCCTCTCTTTTCAAGAGAGAGCTGTAGGAGATCCTTGTCCCAGCGTACCTCTTTGTATACTCCAGCGCATTCATAGTAATCGCGGGAAGGGAGTCCAAGTCCAGGCTGATCGATCTATAAAACCAATTGTAAAATATGTTCACAGGCTTCAGAAAGAATGGCAATCCATGGGCAGATAAATGTTTGGGGACCACGGCACCTACCTCTCCCACAGAGATGGCTGCTGGGAAGGACTGGTGTCACAAACCTATCGACCCCTCAACTATAATGCTGTGCTTACTGGGAGGGGTAGGGATGAGCTGTTGGGGAGGTGCATGTGCAAGGGCAGAGTCAATCTGGTGCAAGCATAGCACCAGCCCTGCACTGACCTCCTTGCGCCTTGACTGTCTCCTGCCAAGTAAGCAATGTGATGCAGCTGATGGGAGGCTGGATGTGAGGTGATGCCCTTCCTCTCGGGACCACCTTGGGCTATGTTTTGAGACATCATCAATGATAGGAGACAGCATCATGTAGGGTCCCAAGACATGGATCCCAAGTCTTCACAGGGCTGCGATTGTCAGCCCCAAGCTGTGTGCTTCCATGGCACACTCTTTTGTGGACTACCACTGGGAGTGGGGAAGGAGGCAATATAGAACCTAAGTCTGAGATGGGGAGCCTGTGGCACTTCAGATGTTGTTGAACTACAGACACCATCTCTAATCATTGGCCATGCTGGCTGGGGTTGGGTTGATGGAGTCCAGCAGCACATGGTGGACCACAGGTTCCATATCCCTATCCTAAGACATGGGGAAAAGGAAATGCAGAGGAGGTGGTATTGACCCACACACCTTTCTAGTATTTATATGCCCCCCACAACAAAAACATTGTAGGCAACACACATTCTGTTCACCTAAAAGTCAACTCTCACAGGGTAAGAGTATTGGTGTTGCTGTTAAAGAATTTGAACAGCATTCTCAGAGAAGATCATGTCATCTTGACTTAGCCTGACTAAGTATATTCCGTACATTGCAGGGAAAATGGGAGTCTGACATTACGTGAAACCTGAAATGAAATGATTGATTGTAACAGGTTTCCCTTAATAATAAAATATGGCTAAACAAGAAAAATGAACAAAAATACTAAGGGTAGCTAACACAGTGCACTCCACAGTGGACTACAACTTCCATCATATCTGATCACAGGCCACACTGGCTGGGGCTGATGGGAGCTGGAGTCAACATCTGGAGAGCAAGATGTTGGCTATGCCTATGTGCTCACAGAGCATGAGCTAGTTGTATATATGCATGGCACTCCTTCAGTGACTGCCACACAACTGTCTGTAGGAGAAAGATAGATGGCCACTGCTGAACTCACACCTCCTTGTGGTTGTGTGAAGCTGCAAGGCCTTTCGAAGCGTGATCAACTCACATGGATTACATGTTGCGTGGAGTTTTTATCATCTGTACCAACAAACAGGCTAATGATGACCTTCTTTCCATACTTAGAGTTTAATTCTGCGATAGACTTCTCTGCGTTCCATGAGGCGCCTAAAACAGCAAAAACATGCTCACACTCAGCATTTTGACACATGCAACCCTACCCCTCATGAATATACAGTATTTGAAAATGGAGCTGGAGAAGAACAGTCCTACCGTAATCGGCGTCCCAGGAGTCTGATGCCACAGGCCAATCAGAAAAAGTTGGCAAGATGTCAATGAGTGGTTTGCCTCCTCTGCTATCAATAGTGGCTTGTGGGTGGAGGGAAAAACTTCCATGAGTTACTTGTCTCAAAAGCACATGACACTGACATATGGAAATAAGCCTAAATACACACACACACACACACACACACACACACACGTTTCTTCTGCAGAGGCCTTCTATCCCCTGGCAAAATTTATTTGAGACCAAAGTTCTTGGGGCTGGGGTGAGGAAATTGGTAAGCAAAAAGGGAAATGATATCTAGCAGATAAAATATGACAGAATATATGGTGTTTTTTAGCACTTCCTTTCAATTGTATCCATTCTAAACCCATTTAAGACTTAAATCTTACGTTAATTTCCATATGAATTTATCCTCTACTGTTTCCTCTCCTCTCATCCTGGATGGATATATCTGCTAAGTTGTTGCGGTCCCTTCTTTTCTATTGTGGCTTGTTTCCGTGTGTTTTGAGTGGATTCCTACAATAATGCATTTTCAGGTGTTGGCAGGACCCTCCTAAGAGATCCTGCTAGCTACTTGCATGGGAAATCCATCAACTAAGGCTGTGTACACACTATACCTTTAAAGCATATTGAAAGCACACACTTTCCTGCATATAATTATGGGTACTGTACTTTACCCATCTCAGAGTTACAATTCCCAGCATTCCTTAACAAACTACAGTGCCCAGAATTCTTTGAGGGGGAAAATGTTTGCAGGGAAGTTAGACAAAGTTGGCTATTTAGTGAGCATTCATCCTGGTTTGTTTGCATGGAGGTTAGATGGCATTATTCCATCATAATAATTTTATTATTTACACCCCAGCCACTCTGAGCGGCTTCCAACATATATAAAAACATAACAAAACACTATCTAAAAACTTTGCTTTGCAGGACTGCCTTCAGACATCTTCTAAAGGTTGTATATTTACTTATCTCCTTGGCTCGGGGGTCGGATAACTCCATACCCTCCAACATTTCTCTGATGAAAACAGGGACATCCTACCATACCCTCCAACACTTCTCCGGTGAAAATAGGGGGCGTCCTAAGGAAAAGCAGGACATTCTGGGATCAAATCAGAAACTGTAAATCTGGGACCGTCCCTGGGAAACAGGGACACTTGGGCGGCCTGTGTCTCTCCCCTGTGGCAATTTGCAAAGGAACTTACTTTCGTTTACACAAGACCTGTAGAGTGTTTTTGCTTTCTTGACAGCTTCTATATCATCACTCTTTGCCTTGTCGAGGACGTCTGAAAAGAAGGGGGAATCAAATGTCGTAAATTAGAATTGGAGAACACTCAGGCCCAGAGGCCAACTGCAGCCTCCCCAGGTGTCTCCATGTGTCCTCATGACTGCCCCCCCTTCCTCTGCCACACCTGCTCTCCCAAGCTATACTCCTCAACTGCCTTGCTCTGCACCCTCCTAGGGTGTCTTTGCCTGGTTGAAATGTATCTTGGAATCTGGACCATGCATCATGTTTTGCTGGGGCAGAGGATAAAGTGGGGTGTGCACAGAAACTATCCTACGGCCCAAGGCCAAATTCCCATGTGTTGTTCTGATCACTTTTGTCTCTAGCCCTGCTCACCGCTAGCATGTGGCCCCTGGGAGGCCGCCGAGAAGACAATGTGGCCCTTGGGCTTCAAAAGGTTCCCCGCTCCTGATATAATGTAATTTAAATTGTTTCTGTTATGTACTGAGTTGAATAGGATCCAAAATGCAGCAGTCTGACTGGTCCTAGAACAATAGGATCCAGAATGCAGCAGTCTGATTGGTCCGCAGGAGCCACCCAATCCAGCTCCAGGTGGAAATGAATCTGCAACCTGATTGGCCTACAAGAGAATCCCAGAATTAGCCAATCACGTGGCCCATTGTGTAAATAATGTATATAAAGCAGACGTTTTGGGGGAACTTCCATTCCTTGCTACTATGAGCTGAATAAAGAGCATGAAATCCACACTTGACTCCGATTATATTTCAGTTCCATTCTGCAGGCATCGGTTCACACTGCACCTTCAGTAACAATAACAGACAACTTCGACCAAAGAGCGCAATTTGAAGCCTCTTAAGTTTGCAAATGTTCTAAGGTCCACTTCGCATTCTTATCTAGCCTCTCTTCTCAGCCTCACTGGATGTCACAGCTATAAGTAACACGGACAGTGTTCCTAGAATTATTTTATCTAATTTGGAATGCAGGCTGCTCTTCCTTTTTTTAAAAAAAATTATGCATGTAACCAGATGCACTAGAAACATCATATTTATGCGCCTATAAAACATTTACAAACACCGCCAGTGCGCTACATGGTCAAATTACACTGCGTAACATACAAAGTAACTTGCTAGAGTCTCCTTCTTGTGCTCTCTTCTTCTCTGCAACAGTTGTTTTGGTCTTTAGCAGCTTCTTTCAACATATGCAACTAACTATGAACGTGCTGCCTGTTTCAGAAACTGTATATAATGGAAGCTTCCTTCCTACAAATCCTAGATACTTTTCCCTTTATTGATTACATTGCATGCATGTTCAGCATTCTGAACAATACTTTAAATAGCAGGTACTGGAGGTGAGTTTATGGAACTAGGCAGGTGGTGGCCTGGAAAAAAATGGGAAAGCACTGTTCAAAGAGAAGTTTGAGACGCAAACCAATACAGTGTTTGCTTCCAAGCCAGAATTTACTTTCCTCCTTTTTTATGTTTTGAAAAGATACATAGCTTGATAGAGTTGCCATATGCTTATGTTTAGAAAATGCCTAGATTACTGTACTTAAGGTGGGCCAACATTTGCTGCCAGTAAATTTAGCATCGTTCCCGGCTGAGTTGGCCTGAAAAAACCCCACCTACTTCTCACACCTAGGACAGCTGCCCACTCTTTCAGGGTCACAAGGACAGTGGATTCAGCTGTTCAAAGAGTCAGAATGCAATGCTGTGCTCTTCCTTCAGACTAGGGCCGAAATTCACCCGAGTCTGAAACGGTCTCTGTTTGCTTTTGCTAGACACAAGAGAACAATTCCTAAGCTTGTGTCCACACAACAGGAAAACAGACTAGGGTGATTTTAGGCAGCCTGGAGTATGGAAGAACTTCTATAAAGCTCATGACCTCCTGACACAAAGTTGGAGGAGTGGAAAAGAAGAGAAGACCGAATGGTTCCAAATGTTTCGTTCACAAATTTATATCCCACTGACCTTTCAAAACAACTTCGAGTTCATCTCTCAAAATGTCAAAGTTACTATAACGGGAACTCGTCTCTGGAATGATGTTCTTCTTTAACCACCCTCCACAGGCATACTGGTAAAAGTCTTTGCAAGGCTCTGAAGTAGCATCCATGTTGTCGATGATTCGGGCAGCTGACACAAGAAAGAGACACCAAGGATATTTTAAAAAATAAAAATGAGGGTTTTTATGGAAGAAAAACAAGACAATGTTTGAATTACTAATACAAAAGGGATGAAATGTAGTTGCATTTTTGTAAAGTAAAGTTTTTCTATAGATCTTGGTAGCCTTGCAACTACACGCTTTGTTGAGAATTAGTGGAGCATACTTCCAAGCAGAGATTGATTCATTGGTTTGTACCTACATTGGGGAATAGCTTTCATGCTGAACACAATGAACCTACTCAGTTACAGAGTTACGAAATTTCTTCCATTCTACCCTGAGAAAAAGATTGTGAACAGAGAGGGGAACTTTACAGTTGATTGATGTGATTCAGAACTTGGGTCACTTTAAAAGATGACAAGTAGTGGCACCAGATTTGGCTGATGCCCACATCACAAACCAAACCAGGTCAATTCAGATGGATCTGGCTGAATCAGGTTGAGACAGCCCCTGGTTGCCCCTGGTTGGGTCAGCTCACTCAGAGCAATTTGGAAGTGTCAAGAGATTGGGGTGGGGGGGTGGGAGAGAAAGAGAAGCAGGTGGCAGGCTTTGCAAAAAGCTGAATGGGGCTGTTTGCAATAAAGCTTTCAATAGCCCTGCCCTGCCGCTGTGGGTTAAACCACAGAGCCGAGGACTTGCCAATCAGAAGGTTGGCGGTTTGAATCCCCACGACGGGATGAGCTCCCGTTGCTCGTCCCTGCTCCTGCCAACCTAGCAGTTCGAAAGCATGTCAATGTGCAAGTAGAGAAATAGGTACCGCTCCAGCAGGAAGGTAAACGGCATTTCCGTGCGCTGCTCTGGTTCACCAGAAGCGGCTTAGTCATGCTGGCCACATGACCCGGAAGCTGTACGCCGGCTCCCTCGGCCAATAAAGCGAGATGAGCGCCTCAACCCCAGAGTCGGTCACGACTGGACCTAATGGTCAGGGGTCCCTTTACTTTAGCCCTGCCCTGCACTTTGCCTCTATGTGCCTGTTTCCAGAGGGGAACACACACACAAACAGCCAAACTGCCCTGGATAACTCCAACCTGATCGGCAGTGATCTGGGACTGCCTCAATGCAATCCAGCTAGAACAGAAATTTGCTTAAATCATCCCAGTTCTGTTTGGGATCAGGAATTTGACTGGCTCCTACCTTTCAGGAGTATAACACATGAAGAGGGTTTGTAAGACAGGATTTTGGTGAGCCAAGTACTTCAAAATTACTTTGAAGCAGCAGGCAGAACACTCCGCACACTGCATGGTTAAAGTTCAGAGCAGGGAATACGGTCTTTCAAATGAAGCTATGATGATAGCATATCTTCAAACCAAAGATGGAGAACCTGCAGCCCTCCAAATGCTGCTGCACCACAGTTCCCATCATCCATGACCATTGACCATGCTGGCTGGAGCTGATGGGAGTTGTAGTCCAACAACATCTGGATGGCAGCAAGTTCCCCATCCCTGTTTTAAATTTTTGGAGTTCACTGAGAGCTCTAAATAAGAATAGGTTAGTCATCTGGCAGTTGAGGAGAGATTGCCAAAGTGAAGGCTCTTCCAGACAATCTGCTCATTCATTCCTTCATTCATCCTGATTTGATTGCACAAAGCTTAGAGTTTGATCTATAGCAAACAAACATTCTGATTTGCTTATATTACAATGATGGTTCATCCTTCATTGTTTGCAGGACACTTACACGTCTTTCTGTTAATCATTCATTCACCCCACACTTTTCAATCTATTGCTTTGTCACTCTCCAAACTGGAAAGCAATGTTTCCTTCATTGAAATAAGTGGATTCACTGTTTTGGGGCAACAGAATGCTTTAATCCACTTTACTTGTGCAAAACTAATGTTTCAGTACAGTGGTACCTTGTGTTACGGACATGATCTGTTCCGGAAGCCCACCCGTAACATGAAATGCCCACAACCCGAAGCGCTGCGTCTGTGCAGGCGCGCTGTGCGATTTGTCACTTCTGTGCACGCGCAAAGCATGATTTAGCGCTTCTGCGCATGCACAAGCAGTGAAACCTGGAAGTAACTCATTCTGGTACTTCCAGGTTGCCGCGGGATGTAACGCGGAAAGACGCAACACGAGGTATGACTGTATATGATTGAATTTGTTCTACAAACAGTCTGGAGCAGGCTTCTCAACCTCGGCCCTCCAGATGTTTTGAGACTACAATTCCCAGCATCCCTGGCAACTGGTACTGCTAGCTGGGGATCATGGGAGTTGTAGGCCCAAAACATCTGGAAGGCTGAGGTTGAGGAAGCCTGGTCTGGAGGATTCCAGCTGGGGATGCAGGTAATGAGTAACCTGCATATACTTGTAATTATAAAGAAAACCTTTGTTAATGAAGTGCCCATCTTCACAAAAGCAGTGCTTGAGTACCAAGATAACAGGAGTGAACATTGCGAGTTTGTAGAGGTGCTCAAAAGACAAAGCAATTGGAAGCTCCAGGAAATGTATGCTTGACTCTGAATTCTGCCAGTGGCTTGAATCGTTTCATACAGAAGTTAAATTTCCCACATAAACTTGCCCATAGACCAAGATTATATTCAGAATCAGTCTCCAGAGGTTAAGTAATGGTTGTAGAACAGTGTGCCAACCATACCATTAGGCAGAGTGAGGCAGGTGCCTCAGGCGGCTGATTTTTGAGTGTTGTGAAAGGGCAGCATATTGTTACTTGCTTAATTTATTACTGTTGTATTTTTACTACAAGGAAGATATTATCGGAGGAATTTCTGCCAAAAAACAAACAAACCTTAGCTGGCCTTCAGTAGTGTGCACCTGAAGGAGAAACCATTTATATAGAAAAGCGCCCTGTCATCTTTGGGTGAAGGGTGGTATAGAAATTAAGCAAGCAAGCAAGCAAGCAAGCAAACAAACAAACAAACAAACAAACAAACAAACAAACAAACTGCTCACTCCAGCCATGGAAACAAAGTCTCCAGGTTTATCTTGTACATTGGGTGCATACACACCATACTTTAAAGCACATCTCCCCCCCCACACACACACCCAAAAAGAACCATGGGAACTGTAGTTTTTAAGGGATGCTGCAAATTGCAGTCCTGTGGGGGTGAACTACAGTTCCCAGGATATTTTTTTGGGGGGGGGATGTGCTTTAAATGTACGGTGTATACACAACCCTCCTCTTGTATCTCTTCTGGTACCAGGCAATGATTCTTTCTTTCTCTCAGTTCATTTAAACTGTAGGAAATCTTACAAGTTTTATTCTGCTACTTGGTTTTTTCTTTCTTGATTGCCTTGCTGTTTTACACATGAACCTGTTTGAAATTATACACTGAACAATTTTTATGGTTTCCTAGTTTACCCATTTATTAATGCTTGGGAAATCCTAGAAACATACTAGGCAAGGGGTCTGTCACTCTCGCACCTCTGGGTTGCTGCACAGCATTGCCTGTAGAAAACTAATTTATTTTATACTATTCTCTACAGTCAAATTGTCAAGATGAGGTTCTTCCTTTTAAATTATAGTTAAGGACTCTCTTCTTTCATGGAGTGCAATGTGACTTGAATTATTTTGTGATTTTCTCTCGGGAGATGGAAAGGTATTTCAGAATGCATCTGAAGAGAGAGTAATGAGCCTTACTACCCATGGATGTCTATTTGAAGAGCTGGAATACTAGGGATTTGCTTTGAAGTAGCAAATTAAAAAGTTTGCATGGCTGGCCCTCTCTCTCTGCAAAGGATCTTTGCCTTGGTTCAGGTGTTCACCACTGTGCATTCTCAGAATGAATGGAAGGAGGAGAGTAGAGCTGAAGGAACTTCATCCATCTCCAAAATCCCCATCCTTGATGGCTCCAGCTCTGACCTTCATGCATTGAATTGGTTTGAAAGGGGGACTCTCTGAGCATTTCACAGAAAGTGTTTAGAATTTTCTGTAGGTTTGGGAACTCTGATCATGCAGGGTTTCCAGTCATGTGCAACATTCTATACATGTCCTGATGAACCCTTCACGCTCAACACAGGAAAGCTACAGCCGGTGAGGAAGGAGGCATCATGGGTAATGCTAGCATGTGAAGTCCCATTAGTACCACCATGTATTCTCAGGCCAGTGCACTCCCAATTCATGTTGGAAGGAGGGCAATAACTATGAAAGGGGGCATTTTTCCAGTGGCTAACCCACTGAATTAAAAACTGCAGCAGATGGGTTCACATCTCAACTCTGAATATAAAAAAAGGTAAAGGTAAAGGGACCCCTGACAGTTAAGTCCAGTCGCGAAAGACTCTGGGGTTGCAGCGTTCATCTCGCTTTACTGGCCGAGGGAGCCGGCGTTTGTCTGCAGTTTTTCCAGGTCATGTGGCCGGAATGACTAAGCTGCTTCTGGCGAAACCAGAGCAGCGCACGGAAATGCCGTTTACCTTCCCGCCGGAGCGGTACCTCTTTATCTACTTGCACTTTGATGTGCTTTCGAACTGCTGGGTTGGCAGGAGCTGCGACCGAACAATGGGAGCTCACCCCTTCACAGGGATTCGAACCACCAACCTTCCGATCGGCAAGCCCATGGCTCAGTGGTTTACACCACAGTGCCACCCGTGTCCCAACTTTGAATATAGTGGGCCACTAAAATACTTCTCAGCTCCTACCTAGGTAGGTAAAGGTAAAGGTAAAGGACCTCTGGATGGTTAAGTACAGTCAAAGGCAACTATGGGGTTGCGGCGCTCATCTTACTTCAGGATGAGGGAGCCAGCGTTTGTCCACAGACAGCTTTCTGGGTCATGTGGCCAGCAGGACTAAACCACTGCAATGGAACACTGTGATGGAAACCAGAGTGCACGGAAACACCATTTACCTTCCCGCTGCAGCAGTAACTTTTTATCTACTTGCACTGTTCTGCTTTCAAACTGCTGGGTTGGCAGGAGCTGGGGCAGAGCAACAGGAGCTCACCCCGTCGCGGGGATTTGAACTGCCAACCTTCTGATCGGCAAGCCCAAGAGGCTCAGTGGCTTAGACCACAGCACCACCTGCACCCCCTACCTACCTATCTACGCCATCACAGGTGTAGTGCACGGAACAGATAAGGTATTAGAAATACCTGCTAGAATAGTGGCTAGCCTGTTAGGACCATCAAACAAATGGAGACATTCCTACTCTCTCTCCTTTTCCTATCTAAATGCACATATAAGGTGAGGTCCGGTCCTGGCAATGTAGGTGGCTGTGCATCCACACCTGCCCAGTGATGTCGTGGGTAGGCATGTACCAATATTGTAGTGACCACTTCCTTTTTCATTCAGCTGGAGCATGTGCAGAGAGGAAAAGACATGGATAACTGTCAGGGAACTGACATCAGAGCTAGAGGCGGAGGGAAGGCTCTCAAATGATGCTGGAGAAGGGCCCAGCAGGGAGAGAGGCAGCTCCGCAGATGGGGAAGCAAATCAGCGCAACACCAGGGATAAAGGGGGGCAGTTGGGGGAATCGGCGAGAGGGCTCCAGGACTCTTCACCGGACACCAGCGGGGAGAGCACGGGTCCTCTGCTACCCACGCCCTCCCTGCGCAGAAGACTTCCGCGCAGAGAGAGTAGGAGGAGACTGGGTGTCAAACAACTTTTATGTTGGAAAAGATTTAAGAAACGCCCACTGACGGATTCTGCTAGCGACTGAGGCAGCCACGAAGTGAAGGGCTGCCCAGACTGAAAGGTTTAACAAGGCAACAAAGCCTGGAGAGGCGGCAACTTACGCACGAGCAACCCATACTCATTACAATAACCTAATCAAGGGGAGGGGTGTCTGTAAGCAAACGCAGGCTTGTGGATGGCAGAATCTGGAATCAATCTAAATCGAAAGCAGCATGTTGGATTCTGCATTGAGAAAACACTACTTCTTAGTGCTACAAAGGAGTAAGTGCGTACACAGGCTATATCTAGGCAAATCTCTCTCATAATCATGGAGCCTACAAAGAAAATGTCCCAGCAAAGAAAATGTCACTGCTGGGTAGACTTTGCAGACCACCTATTAGGCAATTTAAGTAGAAGATCAAGCACCTTCAGTCTAGCATCCACATTTGGTTAGCTAATAGCTATGCCTTCTATTTCATCCAAGTTACAAAGACTTCTATCTTAAGTACAACAACAGAAAAACCTGTGGTGGAGGGTTCTGCGGATGAGACAGCTGCAGACAGATGGCTTTATGGTTGACGTTGCCAAGATGTTAATTCTGTGAGACCACAACAAATAACACTGAGGGAGGTATTTTAAGGCAGGCATGGTTTTTTGGGTGGTTTTCCCCCCACACTTCTTCTTCCATGACGAACATGGATTCCTCCCAAATAAGATATAAGGGTGGGAGTCAAAGGAAGATATGCTTGGCAATGTCAAAGGTGAGAAGAAAGATGTCTGTGAAAAGACGTTCAGATCTGAGGAGTAGGAAGTGGGCGGGCACAGTTTCAATCACAGAAAATCCAATCAGAAATGGTCAAGGCAACAGCTGGAGGTCAAAACGTAAATCTGCAGATCTGCCTGCATGAACGCCATACATTTAAAGCACATTATTTCTCCCAGCTGGTTAAGGGTGCTGGGAATTGTAGCTCAATGAGGTGGACACTCTCCAGCAGTTAGCAGCTGGACAGCAGACTGAGCAGGCAAACAGGTTATCCTTTGCACGCAAGGGTGGCTTTCCCTCTGAAATTTTGCCGGCATTTGCATCTATACGTATAAATCATCATATGAAAAATCTATGCAAATTTGTGCCATAGGTTTAAGCCCTGAGTTCTTTAAGCAGGGTCCCAGCAGCCTCGCGGAGGTGCAGAGAAGGCAAGCTGCCTATGTCAGAGGTGTAGAACCTCTCGATTTCATCCCCCCCCCCCAAATTGACATCAGGACAAAACAAAAAACAGGAGGATGTGGGGTGTGGGGTGGGGTGTGGGGTGTGGGTGTGTGAGTGAGAGAGAGAGAAGCATGCCTCTCCAATAACTTTCTAATTTATCTCTACTAACTGTCATACTTCTCGATAAACTACCCAAGAGCTTCAAATATCTCTTTCTCATTTTTCAATTACTCAGCACAGAACAACATTGTCCAATCCCTCTACGGCATACGGCTTGGGCTTATTTTAAAATAGTAAACAGAAAGGGGGGGAAATCACACAATTCCTGTGTTATAGAGCTTCCTTCCAGGAGAATTGGTTCCAAGAATGACAGCCACAAATAGAGTGATCCTGAGACACTCCCAAAGTTCAGCTGAGGCACATGGCAATAAGTGTGGGATGATGGGAGAAGGAAAATTGAGGACAGAAAGGAAATCAGCCCCTAACAGCTTAAGCAACACATTTAATCAATCCGTTCTCACTGTTTGCCTTCTCATTATTTTTGTGCCACCCCCTCCTTTTTCTCCCAGGAAGGAAAGAAAAATGAATAAGTCTCATGAATTTAGCTTGGCTGTGATTCGTAGCATCCCAGAAGGCTGCACAGACACCATGCATCACTGGCGGAGGAAGAGGAGTGCGGAGGGAGCGCACCGCCCCCGGCAGCGCAATCCAAGCAGGGTGCCACTGCGGCTGTTTCCACGCCACACGCCAGGATGTGCTCCACGCCCCCAGGACAAGCACCAGCCCTGCACCCACCTGCTCTCCGCCCCCCAGTGCTGGAGTATGAAGCTCCGCCACTGCCATGCATTGCAGCCAATTGCCAATGGGCACTTGGCATAGTGCGGCACAGTAGTGCAGCCAATCTGCTGAACCTAGTGCTGCTCCCGCATGCTGCTGAGCTCCTAATGTATGTATTTCTGCATCCCTGGGAACCCCCTAAGTACCACTCCTGTATTTTTGAGTTGCCTAGCTTCACCTCCAGACTGAAAAGCACTTGAGTTTGCTCTTGAAAAGAAATACATGAATCTTAACCAGTGGAACAGTCACTCCCATCTGCAGCCCGATAGTATTCAAAGAGGCTATTAGAAAAGTAAGCTGATTTTTTTTTTTTTAAAAAAAATCCAATTTAAACCCCCATAATTGCAGAAGGAGAAGAACATGGATCACAATCTGAAATCCTGGTATTATTCGCCATTGTCGGGTTTTTCATATATTACTTAGCAAATGCTGTGGTTCTTCACAACATTGAATTTATCCAATTCTTTGTAGATTGCTTCACTTTGCACTGGTTCCAGGAAAATGGAATCTGTGATATGAGCTTGCTGAATGCCTCTAGATTATCGCTGCAAGCTGTAACCAGTTTAATGGAGTACTGTGCTGGAAATGTCTTTTAAAACAAAAAACAAAACAAAAAACCCCATCAATTAATGAGAGAGGAAATTGCATTCAAAAATTATTGTTATGAATTTGGGAGAGGGTGGTGGTGGAAGAAGGCTGTATGTGAGCTCCTTCTAACCCCTGGATTCAGCAAGTATAAGCCAGGCTAGCTTCCTGTATTGAGGCGATAGCCTGGGTGATGGGCCATTAAGGGAAACAAAGAAAAGGAACAAGGCAGAGGGATGAGGCAGAGTTTAGAGCCGAGATTCAGTGACAGTCACCCTAGAAGTAAAGAAGCAAGCTGTAGAGAGAGTCAGAGAAACTTTTGAGAGCAATATCTGATTTCTGTTGGAATCCAGTGCTGTGCTTATGGAGGAGGCAAGACCGTCTTGGGGTATAATGCTGGGAACCCCTCCATTGTAGGCTTGGGTTGCATATACAGTGGTACCTCGGGTTACATACGCTTCAGGTTACAGACTCCGCTAACCCAGAAATATTACCTCGGGTTAAGAACTTTGCTTCAGGATGAGAACAGAAATTGTGCTCAGGCGGCACGGCGGCAGCGGGAGGCCCCATTAGCTAAAGTGGTGCTTCAGGTTAAGAATAGTTTCAGGTTAAGAATGGGTCTCTGGAACGAATTAAGTACTTAACCCGAGGTACTACTGTATGTGTAAACAAACCATATATCATAAAGACACCACAGTTTACATGGTGTCCCTTTTCCATGAACCCTGGGTCAGTGCCTTGAACCCCTGGAATCTTGCACAGACTGGGGTTGCAGTGGTGTGCAACATTATTAAAGGGGAGAAAAAATGTTGGCAAAGTTCTTGTGACTGGGGTTCAGGCTATTTGTTTCCCTTTCCTTGCTTTTTTAGGCAGCTGAAGGGAGTCTGTGATGAGTTTCCTTTATTTCACCCTACAAAGTATCTTGTCAGTGATCTGCACTCGGCAGCCTTCCTTGGTGCCACAGTTTAATTGAAAACCCTGAGCAAGACACATCAGGAGAGACATCTCTTCCCATGAGGAATTTTCAGATCAGGAAGCACAGAGTGGCTGCGAAGTCCTAAAGCGTGGGTAGGCAAACTAAGGCCCAGGGGCCGGATCCGGCCCAATCGCCTTCTAAATCCGGCCTGCAGACGGTCCGGGAATCAGCGTGTTTTTACATGAGTAGAATGTGTCCTTTTATTTAAAATGCATCTCTGGGTTATTTGTGGGGCATAGGAATCCGTTCATTCCCCCCCCCAAAAAAATATAGTCCCGTCCCCCACAAGCTCTGAGAGACAGTGGACCGGCCCCCTGCTGAAAAAGTTTGCTGACCCCTGTCCTAAAGAAACGTTCGCAATCATTTACCTATTGATCAGTTGTTTACACAGCTGAAAAGGTTCAAATAGTTTGTATCCCTGATAGAGATTAATTTAGGTTAAACAGTAGCCTAGTTTATCAGATAGATTAGCTCCCCTAATAAGCAAAATAATCATAATACCTACATCAACTATGTCCCATTGACTCATGGAAACCTGATAGTGTGACCTTGTATAGTCAAGATCCAGCTTTGCTGTCGCAATTCAGATTAAAAGGTATTAATCATCAGTGGTTCTTTTGACCCCATGTAGACCCATCTGACTACTGTAATTCGCTCTACGTGGGGCTGCCCTTGAAACTGTCCCAGAAACTCCAACAGGTGCAGAATGCTGCAGCGAGGCTCCTCACGGGGTCCCTGCCATGGGAGCATATTCACCCAGTGCTTTACCAGTTGCACTGGCTCCCGCTGGAGTATTGGGTCAGGTTTAAGGTTCTGGTTTTGACCTTTAAAGCCTCTGTGGCCTAGGGCCCTCGTATTTACGGGACTGCCTCTCCTGGTATGTCCCGCAGAGGACCTTAAGATCCATGAATAATCATAGTTTAGAGGTCCCGGGCCCTAAGGAAGTTAGATTATCCTCCACCAGGGCCAGGGCCTTCTCAGTGATGGCTCCGACCTGGTGGAATGCTCTGTCCCATGAGACCAGGGCCCTGCAGGATTTAACTTCCTTCCGCAGGGCCTGTAAGACAGAACTATTCCACCTGGCTTTCAATTTGAACTTAGTCTGATCTTTTATTTCCCTTCCTTCCCTCCCCCTCCCCTTTTTATGAAGATAACCCGCTCTGGGATCCCACAGCTAATTCTCCCCTGGTCTCCTCGCTGGCCCAAATAGGACTAATTTAGCAAGCTAGCCCTGGTGATCATCTAATGTTTATTGGATGGATTTTCCCCCTAAACTGATTTTTTATTTTATTGTTATTCACGTTTTATACCGTATTTTATGCTGTTTTTTTGTAGCATCAATTAAGTGTTTTAAATTTGTTGTTAGCCGCCCTGAGCCCAGTTTTCTGAACTGGGAAGGGCGGGGTATAAATAAAAATTTATTATTTATTATCATGGATATAAACTATGTGGTATAAAAATGGACATCAGCCACATTTGGCAACATTATCAGCTCTGCTTGGAGTTGCATGTTTCTAGTGACATCTCATCACAAGGTTCTGTATTTGCTGAAGTCTGTTCAGAGTATGTGCCATCCCCATCCATATTATGCAAAATGTGTAGCGTTTTGAATTTTCTTTAATAAATTACAGGTGCAAAGAGTGGGAGAATGGGCTCCAGGTTCTTCAAGTGACCACAGCAAGCAAAGGAGGAGAGTTTTATCTCTTCCTTCCCAGACAAATTCCACAAAAAAACTTCCCAAACCCACAGCTTTAGAGATAGTTCTCATTGGCACCAATTAATAAAATGAACAAATGATCTGAAGACATAGCTGTATATATGGCACTCAATTTGTGACCCTGTGCTAACCTGATGTTTCTCAAGCCACACCAAACTAATCCATCTACTTTTTGTGTGTGAAGAAAGACCAACTCCTGTTTAGAAAAAGCTCCACCCTGTTAGTTCCTAGCAATCCATTGTCTCCAGTATGATCGCCTCTCCCCATATGAACCAACCCAGACCCTCAGATCATCCTCTGAGGCCCTTCTTTGTGTGCCTCCTCAACTAAATAAGATCTTATAGAGGTATTGTGCTGCACTCTACTGTACGGCAGCTTGAGAGGGTTTTCACAGCCTAGAAACATTCTAAATAAATAAACCATATCTCAGTTTTAAAAGCAGTTTGCTATATTGAATGGAAGTGGAAGGTGGGGAAGGCAGTAATTCAAGAAATGCAAACCCAGAGCCCGTTTTATTCATATCCCCAAGATACATTACTTTCAGGAAAACAAGTTGAAATGTTACAGTAAAAAGAAAAAAGCTTTGTAAATCTTACCTGATTTTATACAATCTGAAGTTTTGCAAACACCATCTGCGGGGGGCGGGGGGAGATAAACACATTTATATTGTTATTAAAACCCTTAATAAACTTAAAAAAACCTCTTAACAACTTGGGACCAGTTTACCTAACAGATCACCTTACCCCATACTTGGCCATTCGACAGCTTCAGTTGGCAGAGTTGGCACTATTGCCAATTCAATTGGCACTTGGATTGGCAGAATTGGTGCCACATAATACCTGTTTCGCATTTGTGAGAACCTGATTGTTTAGTGTAGCAGCCCCTGCACTTTGGCAACTCCCAGCCTATCGATATCAACCGGACTGTATTATTTTCGGTGCCTGCTAGAGACATTCTAGATTAGACAAGCCTACTCAGATGCTTAGAAATGCTGGTATGAATTTTAATCTGTTTTAGTGTTTTAACTTCTTGTATGTTTAAAAATACTGTTGTATCCCCCTCCCCAATTTTATGGTTTTCTCTTCTGGGGGTGCCATGGAGTGCCCGGGACAGGCAGTCAGGTTGTGTATCCACAGCAGTGACCACAGGAGAAATGACCACTGGGAGGAGCACAGAGAGAAGAAACGCCCTGGTGCTTCTGCATCAGCACAACCAGACGCCTTCATCTGCCCCAGCTGCAACAAAACATGTCTCTCTTGCATCGGTTTCTACAGCCACAGCAAGCACTGCAACCTTCCAACAGTTTGACCTCACCCCCAAAGGCACACTCCTCCACTGTCTCTGGAGACAGACGGACACCAGCTCTACCTTGGGAAGGCAACTGCCTTCATAGATGGTGATTTAGAAGGCAGTTAATAAACCAATGTCAATAATAATAATAATAATAATAATAATAATAATAATAATTTAATTAACTAACCCCCCTTCACCATAAGGTCCCAGGACAGGTCACAACAATTTTAAAATAACAATATTTTAACAGTTTATCCATTTGGGACAAGCAATTTACAAGGAACGGGAACAGAAATTGTGTATTTCTTTTCTATGTTTTCATGTTTAATCTTTTATTGATGTGTTCTTTTTATTGGAAAATTTAATAAATATCTTTTTAAGGCAGAGCTTCAAAGAAAAGAAAAGAGCGAAACAAAATAAAATAAAAATAAAGTAAGAACTCTTCCACCAGAAAAAAAAAAGGGAGGAAAAAAAGGAACGGGAACGGAAAACACCTTAGGAAAATTTGGCTCAGGTGTCCCAAAGTCTTGAGCTTCATTTTGCTTGGCGTAACCTTGAACATTTCCCAAGTTATGGTAAATTGCTGATTTATTTTTAATTTTTTTTTTTTTGTATGAGAAAAAGAGAGAGATGGAAACCTGAATGAATTCTGCTGCTGATTCCATCTGGTCTTGTGGATTATAAATTGAGATTTGAATAGAAACTGCAAAAAGGGAATCACTTTGACATATGCAGTAGTAAAAGCAGAAATGATCATGTAAGACTGAGCTTTGGTTTTACTAATTGTGTACATTTTGGATGATCGTTTATGGCTTTCACAGGAAGAGCTGCTGTTCTTTTTTTTTTTAACAGCTCTGTGTGCAGGATGGAAAGTTTGGGGTGTTTGGGATGGACAGGTAAGGTCCATTGGGGTGAGAATACTCCTGCACATGTTCGATAGTAGCCAGTGGCAAAGTTGCCAGACATACCTTCTGTTAGGGAAATTGCAGCTAAATGGCCATGGGAGGCTAGGAGGTGATTGGAGAAGATGAGTCATCCTTATTCCACTCTCCTTCTATCTATGAGGAAGTGGCAATCGAGGTGTGAGTGGAAAGCAACAGAGACCAGGCAGAGCTTCAAAGAATCATATAATGTTAGAGTTGGACGGGACCCTGAGGGCTCTGCAATCTTGTTCACAGTGGGTGGGCTCGAACCACCAACCTTCTAGTTAACTGCATCACTGGGGAATGCTTTTGAGTGAGTGAGAGAGAAGGGTATCACATGCTCTGGGACATACTGTTTGTGTGTACTGTCTCGCTATCATGATCTGATATTGGGCAATGAGTTTTCCTGATGGAATGCATAAAGAGAGGGCCACCATCTATGATCAATTCGTATATTTGCAAATATACAAATACAACATGAATACCCGTTACAATCTGGCATAAGCCTCCAGTGACTCCTTCCGAAGGAAGCTTAACAGTGCTTGGGAAAATAGGACAAGCATGTAAGTCAGCAAATTCGTTTTCTACAATGCTGTCCAGGGTTGTAAAGACTGCAGAGAGAATAATTGGGTGCACTCTTCCCACCTTAGATCAAATCTATGCTGTCAGGTGCCATAAGAAAGCGCAGGATAGTACGCACCCCAGAAATGATCTCTTTCAACTTCTGCCTTCTGGAAGAAGGTATAGGGTTATAAAGGCCAGGACTAGCTGCCTGAGAAACAGTTTCTACGCAAATGCAATTCTGGTTCTAAACGCAGCATAAGGGGTCTCTATAGTATAGTGTATTTTAAAATGGGGTTTCAGAGTTGTTAGGGGTTTTTGAATGTTTTATGTAGTTTTTCAATTTCATTGTTCTGCATGGGACAATGACAATAAAGATATCGTATATATATATATACCTTTTAGGCTGATCATGGGCTCCTGAAACGATCTCAGAGAAGCCAGTCCCAAACAAAGGTTTGTCGAACCGTTTTAGGCATATAGTTATTACACAGAAAGCACAACACAGCTTTTTAAAGTCAACTTGCTTCCCCCAAAAAGGGAATTGGCTCCTTCTAAATACAGAAGCTAAAACATCCAGCAACATCCCAGCTAACAAGTTCAGATGTGCTTAAAAGCATCTTACCAGGGTATTTTAATCAACCCCTTTTCAAGGCGATGAAATTTTGTGTTTGTGGTTTTTGCTCCCCCCACCCCAAACTTCAGGTTCTTAAAAGAACTTTTGCCACAAAAGTAGTAGCTTGATTCACTTCTACTCACCATCATAGGTTGCATACAGAATGATCATGGTGATAGCTATGATAGTAAGGAGAGCAACGACAACGGCAAGCCCAATTTCCAGTGCGCTCCATCGCAGTTTTTTCTTTTCTTTTGCAAGGTTCATTTCAGTTATATCCATCTGACTTTCTGACTTGCCCATAACCTAGAGTCTGGGACGAAGAAAGAGAACAAAGAGCAGTGACTGAAATGCTTAAAGCATGGAAACTTCCAAGTTCCTTTTACCTAAGACCCTTTTTTTGTTCCAGTAGGGAAGAGGAAGTATTGGGTGTTTTTTTAAAGAAGAAAAGTTAAAATACATCTGTTAGTCACGATGGCAAAAAAAAAAAAAATGACAGTCCAATTGACATTTTGCCACTTACAATCCACAGAACAATGTCGTCCTTACACACATGAAGAACAGCCAAAAAAGGGAATGGAAACAAAGGAACACTTGGTTTTATTGCTAACATATCTACTTTAATTGCACTCCTCTGCCACAAGAGTTCACAGGCAAGCAAAATGCAGCCCTTACTCATTGAATAAAAATTAACCTAACCTTTCAATCTTTGATCCTTTGCCAATGATCAAAAGTGTTCCATTTTGCCTCTCTGGCATTTTTCAAGTCATTTCAACAATAAATGACTGAAGAATTAATGACTCCTAAAGTAACTGAGGGAGGGAACATCTTCTTCCCTCTGAACTCAAGTCTGGCAAATGGCATTGTATGGGTGGGTGGGAGCGAACGTCCAACACTGCAGGGCCAGCAGCATGCCTTCCCAGTGTCCTGGTTTTCCAGGGACAGTCCTGGAATTATGAAACCATCCCGGCTTCTGATTTAATCCTAGAATGTTCCCATTTCCCCTGCCGGTGTTGCTGGGAGGAGGCCGAACTAGCGCTTGCCCTGAGTGGCAGTTGTCTCTCCATGGTTGTTGCTGCTGGCCTCCTCCCTTTGGGCAGCTCACAGCGGCTGCTGGAGAGTGGACAAGGAGGAGGATAGGCTGCAGCCACTGCGATCCAGCTTCGTGTGACACACTGGCTCTGAGGGGCAAGGAAAGTGCAGAGCCACCCTGGCCAGGGAAGAAAACGGGAGCAGAGCAGAGCAGAGCACAAGTAGACTTGATTTTTTGTATTTAAAATTGCTTTGTGCGTCCGCATCTAATCTTGCCCATTTCCAACATTTTGTGATGGCCTGGGATTTGGGCTCGGACTTGGAACCAGAGAGGAGTCTCAGTCTGCACCGGATCCTTTGCCTCAAGCATCATCTGAACCAAGTCTGGGGCCTGATCCTGAAGAGTCCCAGTCTGCACAGGTTCCCCTTCAACAAACACCAGCTGGGCCAAGTCAGGGGCCTGAGCCTGCCCTGGCTCCAGATGTGGGGATTACCTCATTGCCTTCAGCTGGGCCATCACTTACAGCTGCTCCACTACCGGTTTGGTCAGGGGAGGCTGAGGCGGCCTCTGGGTCTAGTAACCCATTGACATCTCCCAAACTGCAGAGACTAAGGTCTGAGAGAAGGAGAGACCTGAGTACTTGCAGGAGGAGTGCTCACCTTTGTGTGAAACAGGGAGGTGAGTCACTGGGGATCAGGACCGGCTGTTACCCCAGCAAAGATAAAAGGCTGTCGGATCCTGCCCCAAGTTGTGGGAGCAACATTGCTGTATGCTAGATCCTGCCTGAGATCCTGTACCTGTCCTTGCCTGGTGTCCTGCCTGGTGTCCTGCCTTGGCCCTGTCAGACTGACTCCCAGCAGAACCTTCAGATTCTGGACCGGTCCTGGACCGCATTTCACAGGTTACCCCCGGGCCCAGCACACATTTATTTATTGATGTGTGTTTTACTTTTTGTAACTCTACCAAAGAATTATAAGATAAAATTGGGACTGAGGGGTTTTCTCAGGACGGTGGAAGGTGTGTGTGCTGTGTCCCAGTGGTGAAGTGGTAAATGGTGGAGACCACTTCCCCCTCCTGAACCGTCCAGAGAAGAGGAAAACAGTATAGATTTACAGCAGTGGTTTGAGGAAGGTCATGGCTCAGAAGCAGACAAAGAGCAGAGTCGGGAAATAATGGGAAAGGAATTGAGGGAAGCAGAGCCGGAGCAGGTGGCTAACACGTTATCACTAGAAAGCATTCCAGTCCCCTCTTCTCCCAGAATCTGGCGGGCATTGAAAGTAGGAGAGCAAAGGGCTTGTAGGCAAATGGCCCTAAGCGGCCACCATAAGGTGGATGGTGTTGGTGATTTACTCAGAGCAACACCATTAGTCCAAGAGGCAGCATTTCTCAGCCTCTCTCTGTGAATACTGAATAAAATACATTGGTCAGAGCTTCTTTGTCTGTTCCTGGCTACCTGCCCTGGGGGGATCAGATTTCCTGACGCCTGACAGTGTGCAAAGATTGGGGGGTCAAGGAGGGTCAGTTGCTGAGGAGTGTTGGAGGGTATGCAGCAGAGAACCCCCAAATCTGCTGTCATATGGACGCCCTTCATTCTACACATTGCTAAAGCAATGCCTCCACTGATGCCATCACAAAAACACAAGCTTCACTGGGGCGATGTGCACTCATGAGGAAGAATGACTAGTCAGGCTTCCTACGATGCATGGGCCTCACAGCAGATTCATCTGAATATGTAGAACAGACAACACTCCAGTGCTTGTTGTTATTGTTGATGCCAGTTGCACTGTAAATTTTTGAATGGACAAAGCAATAAATGCATCTATATTATATATGACTTTAGGGTGGGGGGAAATAGGCTGTACGCAGAGAACCTCCTAAACCCCCAGATCTAGCAAGTGTTAGAATATAAGCTTCCTGTTGCTACTAACATGAGTTTGACCAAGCAGCAGGAGGCAGTGGAAGACAGGAGTGCCTGGTGTGCTCTGGTCCATGGGGTCACGAAGAGTCGGACATGACTAAATGACTAAACAACAACAAAGCTTCCTGTTGAGGTGATCACCTGGGTGATGAGCCATTAAGGGAACAAAGGAAGTGGATCTGTGGGAAATGGCAAATGGGAGGGTTGCCTGATACAGTGGTACCTCGGGTTACAGATGCTTCAGGATACAGACTCCACTAACCCGGAAGCAGTACCTCAGATTAAGAACTTTACTTCAGGATGAGAACAGAAATCGTGTGGCGGCGGCAGCGGGAGGCCCCATTAGCTAAAGTGGTACCTCAGGTTAAGAACAGTTTCAGGTTAAGAACGGAACTCCAGAAGGAATTAAGTTCTTAACCAGAGGTACCACTGTAGTTAGAAAAAGGCAAAGGCAAAAACTGAGAGTTATGCAGCAAATTGGAGAGAGAACATTGTTTGATTTCTGTTTGACTCCAAAGCTGTGGCTATGGGAGAAACAAGGCCCTCTTGGGGTGATAATGCTGTGAACCCCTCCAATGCTCAGGTTGTCTATATGTGTAAATAAAAAAATATATCATAAAGACACCACAGTCTTCGCTGTGCCCTCATTCCCAAAGGAAACATGAACTTGGGGTAAGCGCCTTGAACCCCTGAAATCTTGTAGCACTTGGTGATTGGGGTGGCGTACAACACTACACACACACACACACACACACACTGAAAATGATGAATGTGAGAAAAATAAGGGAGAAGAAAATTAAAAGCAATAAAAACGGTATCAAAAACATCACTTCAAAATCAGCAACAGCTGAATACAGCAAGAACTGCACATTCCAGCACTACCCCAAGGTAAATCCTGTTGAATTCAGTGAGGTAAGTGGGACTATGATTGCTTGGAAGAAACAGAAAAGATCTCTGAACTTCTCATGGTGCTCAGCTGGGTATGTTTCCCCCTTTTGGATTTTGTATTTATCCAAAATAAGCTGCAGAGGCTGCAGTCTTGAGTGAAGGGCCCACTGATAACTGAGGAGAGCGGGGAGAGAAGAGGGAGATTAACGTCGGGCAAGTTTTTGTTGGTTGGTTTGTTGCCAGAGGCATTCAAAATCACTCCTCCACTCCCAAACTGCCTTTTTTTTTTTTTTTTGCCATGTGAGGGAAAACATAAGGACTCTCATATCATTTTCTGCTCATCTCTTTGCTGCCCCTGCCATTATCCTAACGTACCTAACGTTTCTGAAAAAAACATCATTTCATGGACCGGTCCAGCCCACCCATTGCTACAGCACCTCCAGCTTTTCCTCTCTTCACAACTTGTCCATGCCCTGACTGCTGCTTTAATGTTGCATGGCAGCATTTAAAAGCTGGCATTTCTGTTTAACCGTACGGTGATTTTTATGAGCCTTTTTATTGTGCGTGAAATATTCCAGCCACCTGAATGGATCACGAAAGCTCACATGTTGAAAATACAATAATTGCTGGCGCTCTGAGGGGTCCCGATGAGCGACAGCGGCTTTCGGAGGTCTATGTGCATTGGCTCCCATTCTGTGAAAGCAGGAGGGGGGAGTGCAGTTGAGCAGCAATGCATCACTGGCCTCCCAACATCAGCATCTCTGCTGCTCACTGAGATGGTGTGGGGATGGGATAGGGCAGGGCAGGGGTGAGGGTGAGTGGAGGCTGCCCTGACAGAGATAATCAGATTCTCCCTCCAGTGTGCCTGCACAGACCCAATCTCACCACTCCCATGCCCTGCCCCATCCCAGTAAATGACAATTCTGCCACTGTGTCAGAGTCCTGCCTTGCTGAGATGATCACACACCCCCACCAGACTGTCTTCTACTGGGCATGAGAATTTTTTAACTTAGGCCCAATTTTGTCCAGTGTGATCTAGTCACATGAATTCAGCCTCAATTATTCCAGGACCAAAACGACCTCGTTACGCATGGTAAATGTATCTTTACGCACATGAGCATTGAGCACCATGCGTCTAAAATTTCACAGTCTGAAGTAAAGTACTGTCTTGTGACCCCTTCAGGGAAGTGTATAACTTAGTTAAGTCTACAGAATTCTCATAAACAGTGTTCATTTAGTGCAGCCGCTGTTTAGCTAAGGAACTTGGATGAATCAGAAGAGGTGAATCCAATGAAGTCATCCCATCAGCACAATGCGACTCCTTCTCCTCTCTGCATGTATCCCCTGCACCCCCTCAAATCTGCTCCAGAGAGTTGGACAGGGGAGAGGGCACCAGAGGCATGTGGGGAGAAGAAGTCAAGTCCCATTGCACAGGTGGAAATCCATGAGCTTACAGGGTGACTTTATTAGACACACACACACACACACACACACACACACACACCTATTAACTGGTGATAGAAAGTAGAAATGTGATGGGATTCTAAATACCCAGATTCTAGTGACCACATAATCTCTAAGAAGTTGAATTGGAACATACAGTATCTGAGTCAAAGTTGGGCCACCCTAATTTGCAATGTATGGATAATCATAGCAACCTGCTTTACAGCAGTTGCTGTCAAGAATTACTGAATGTATGTGAAGCATTTTGCACACCCGAAACAACTGCATAAATCAGCCTTCTCTATGCTGGTGCCTCTTAGTTTTGGGTTGCAGATCCAATCATTGCTGACCGCTAGCTGGAGCTGATGGTGATTGTGGTCCAATATGTCTGGAAGGCACCAGATTGGAGGAAGCTGACATAAATTCAAAGTGTGATGGGTAAATTATCTAATCACATAACCTCAGATAAGTTTGCCATCAAGGCAGATGTGGGGAGCACTTACAAGATCACTGACAATTCAGTTTTTAAAAGGTAGCCCATGTGGTTAGAAGGATGCATCACCTTTTACATTTTCTTATTTCTCAATTATGATAAGCCATAACAATAAAATTGCTTCAAAAGGTAATCAAGTTGAATCTCAATCCAACAGATCAGATGTTCACTTTTAAAATCTCTTCACTGACAAAGTAGCTGAAACTTTAGGCAACTGATCTCCCAGTTAAAGCATGAAGATTTAAGGCTTAAAATGGTTCTTGTGTATGCATACTCACCTGGGAGTAAGCCCCACTGAACTCAAGAACTCGTAAATCTGAGCACACATGTATAGGATTGCGTTGCTAGACGGCCAAACCTGTCCTTATCATACGCCAGTCAAGCACAAAGTTCGATCTTAAACTTTGTAGTCCTTAAACTTTGTAGGCGCATGAAGTCAAAATTAGAAAATGCCTCAGCTTCTTAGTTTGGTGAGTGCTTTAATGTTCCTAAATTGCAATTTATTAGCACACCAAGAATCACCCGCTTTGACATGCAAATGTGCTTTGTGAAGACAGCATAACTTCCCCAAGGGAGATAGTCTTTATTATACTACTGCTGGAGTGTTTCCATTATTTAAAGGCATCCCACTGATTTGTTCTTACCTGCAGCTTTTTAAGAAAACAAGCGAACACTATAGGCCACCTAGCAAAGGTCTATTTATGTGATCATTCATTTATACCACCAAGGCCTGGGCATAATTAAAGCAGACAGGAGCTCAGGTATTAGAGTTCTGTTCTATTTCTCCGAGGGCTGCAATGATTCTCCCCCAGTTGCCCTCGAAAGTGTAGACAAAACAGGCAGCTGCAATTATTATGTTTGGCAGCAATGGAAATTAACAATCTGAGCTTCAGTTTTCATTTTCAGTCCACCTGCTTCAATCTGACTTCTTGGAGCAGCCTACATGTTCTTCTTTGAAATATGCCAGACCAGGTGATATGGACTTGCTGGGGGGTGGGGGGTGGGGAAAAACACTATTCCTTTTGGTTAATTCGTTTAGAAATGCATTTCCTTAGCAATGGATGATTCCAAACACTGCATTGGCAGTTGAGGCTGAAGTTGGCTCCTGCTTCCTAGTTCCTTACTCAGTCCAGGTGCCTTGTGGGATACAGTGGTGCCTCGCAAGACGAAATTAATTCGTTCCGCGAATTTTTTCGTCTAGCGAATTTTTCGTCTTGCGAAGCACGAAATCCCATAGGAATGCATTGAAAATCAATTAATGCGTTCCTATGGTCAAAAAAAAGTCCAAACAAAGCCAAATTTGGTACAACAAGAGTTTATTAAGTGCTCTTTAAAGTCACACATACTGTAAAGAGCATTTCAAAATTCAAACCCAGAAAGTTTTTTAAAAAACAGCAGAGTTGCCCAATGGTCACAGAAAATCATAAAAATGCAGAAAAAAACACACAAGCTTCCAGATTCTTGCAAACCCCTCCCCAACTGTTCCCCCCAGCCACCCAGCACACAGAAATTCAAATCCAGAATTTTTTTAAAAAAACAGCAGAGTGGCCCAATGGTCACAGAAAATCATAAAAATGCAGAAAAAAACACACAAGCTTCCAGATTCTTGCAAACCCCTCCCCAACTGCTCCCCCAGCCACCCAGCACACAGACATTCAAATCCAGAAATTTTTTAAAAAAACAGCAGAGTGGCCCAATGGTCACAGAAAATCATAAAAATGCAGAAAAAAACACACAAGCTTCCAGATTCTTGCAAACCCCTCCCCAACACCAAGTCCTTGAATTCCAAACACCCCAACCCAAAATCCAAAAACCCCCAAAAAAGTTTTAAAAGCTTAACTTACCAAATGGCTGCAAAAGAAGTTTTGGAATAGCTTCAAAAATCACCAAAGTCTTTAAAAACCTCAAAAAAGGCTACCACACCGCGTTCTATGAGTTGCTCCTCGAAGTCAAGTCGCAACTGTATTAACGGTGTTAAGAAAAAGGAAACAAACTTGCAAGACGTTTTCGTCTTGCGAAGCAAGCCCATAGGGAAATCCGTCTTGCGAAGCAGCTCAAAAAACGCAAAACCCTTTTGTCTAGCGAGTTTTCCGTCTTGCGAGGCATTCGTCTTGCGGGGCACCACTGTATCTTTTTTATTGTGGGGGGAGGCTAAGGGGTTAACCCTACACAAATCTGGGATGGAGTCCTTAAGATGGTTGGATGGCACCTTGTATGCCTCCTTCTGGCAACTCCTGCAGCTAAGATGGTACCAAACGTATTGCTCTACTTTCCTTTGGGACACATCAGTGGGGCCTTGTTGTCTGGGCAGCCCAGGACCTCCATATATGCTAGCTTGCTCCCTTAGAAGGTCACTTGGGTGCTGCTAACACAGCGATTTGATTTCACTCACGGAGGTTTACTCCATTGTCTCTTGAGGCAGATGGATGCCAACAAACTCAATCAAGGCATGTGGAACCAGCCAGAAGAAAGTACAGTGGTCCCTTGGTTTTCAAACGCCTTGATACTCAAACAACCTGGAACCCAAACACTGCAAACCCGGAAGTAAGTGTTCCGGTTTGTGAATTTTTTTCGGAAGCTGAACGGGCTACATTTTTAGTGTTATGCTTCCGATTTGAGTGCCACACTTCTGTTTTGAGTGTTATGCTGAGGTCTGTCTGTTTTTGCTATTTATTTTGTGTTTTTGTTTTTGCGGCTCTTTTTGTTTTGTTTTTCTGACTATGTGGAACCCAGTTCAGCTACTGATTGATTGATTGTGTGACTGCAGTACATTGTTTATTGCTTTCATTTTATGGCTCAGTGGCCTCATTAGATAGTAAAATTCATGTTAAATGGCTGTTTTAGGGGTTGTTTTTAAAAGTCTGGAATGGATGAATCCATTTCGCATTACTGTCTAAGGGAAAGAGTGCCTTGGTTTTGGAACGCTTTGGTTTTGGAACAGACTTCCGAAACGGATTAAGTTTGAGAACCAAGGTACCACTGTATGTGCTTCTCTGCTCCCTATTGTTGTTTAGTCATCCCTGCCAGCAGGACACTCTCCATTATAAGATGCCAAGAATCATGTCTGGCTGCAAGTGGGAAGCAATTGCAGCCTCGTGTTTATTACCCAAATAAGCCATTTACAATGTTTCTGCATACATAAAACTTATTTCAAGTTTCAAGCTTAGGTCAAACATTTAAAGGTAGCATAAACTGTGTAATATGCTTCTGGGAAAATCCCATTTGTTTTAATAGCTTGTGTATACAAAAATGTACCTGGGGTGTGCATTCATACATTTCAGAGTTTATGAAAATGCATTTATTCTGGCCACATATTGACATGTATTGAAGACATACATAGCAGATAGGTGTGTGGGTTTCATTTCAGAGAAAACGTTTTTGCAGGAAAGTGGTGTCTCAATGTGAAATTGACATGAAATTGGCATACAATGGTATCTAACCAAAACGGAAACTTTCTAAGACAATTAAGGTCATGGCATGAATTGTTACAAAAAAGTTGAAAAAAACTCCTTCCATTGAGAAAGGGTATGGCTACTGGGAGAGTTGAAATGGTGACAGATTCAGATTGCAGTCCTTGGTCATCAATTGACTTGTCAAACAGGAATCTAAGGTGGTTCTCACCTTTCAATTTAAATGCATGGAAGCAAGTCTTCCTGCATCTAAGGTGCAAACATTGACTGAATGTAACAACTTCTGAGAGAAGACCTGTGAACTGTGACACCTTAGGAGACACAATTAGTTTGGAGAGTTCTCATTCAGCAAATACATTGGTATCTGAAAATAAGAGGCATTTCTGGTTTGGTTTCCTGGTGTTACTCATAAATGGGGGGGGGGGGATGATGATTTAGTAAAACAGGCCAGCGACTTTCTGAAATAAAACACCATCCCTTGATAGAAAGTTATGTGGCAACTTTTCAAAGAAGCAAAGATAATTGCATACACCTACAGTTCCCATAGAGTTTGCTAGAGGACATATTTGAATTTGTTACTGATAAAAACAGATAATGCATTCACAGCAACACTTCCCTGTTCCTGGATTTCAGATTTTATTCATTTCAGCGTTCTCCTGAAAGCTTATCTGCAGAGTGAACCACTAACAAGACTGGGTAAAAAGATGTCAAGACTTCTGGGGGCTAATTACTATTGTTTCAGTAACATCTTCCATGCATTCAAATATGATACCCAACAAGAACAATATAAATGGCAAGGCAATAAATTGCAAAAATGAGAAAGAGAGCGAGAGGTTTCTTGGTGGGGAAATTAAAACATCGGCTTGTGGGGTTCTGCCAGGGCAAATTTAAACATCAAGGGTAAGGGAGATGGATAAAGTATTCTAAACACACACTAGTAAACTCTGGTGATCAGATATTTCAGGAACCACAACCATCTATTGTTCTCTTTGTAAATAGCTGTGTGACTGAGCACGTTTCATATTTCCTTAAAAGCCACAGTAAAGGTTGCAATTGTAATTCTATAAAATGCTTCAAAGAATAGGATTCAAGTAAATGATGCAACAAGCAGTGAAATGTTTGTGGGTGGGGGGAGAATTGAAAAAGTTATGTTAAACAGCCCATATGTTGTTGCTGTTATAAAAAGATTTAGTACTGAGTTAATGAAGCAATTTTTAAAAAATTAGTAATGCTTATTTTCTAAGTAGTACATGATTGCTTTTAAAAATTGGCAACGGTTAAATATTTATAATAAAAGTATGAAAAACAAAGTTTCATTATTGATGAAGAGTAACTTCATGATTATAAATAATTCCAGGATCTGCCGCTGGTTCAGATTCTTATGTCACACTTACAGGACAGTGCCTGTTGATTCTAGGTTAACCAAGAATCTATCAGCTTGGCGTTCTGCACTAGATATCAGCACGACATATGAGAAGTTCCACTTTGCACATAAAATAGCCACTGGAATTGTATGTGTAAATCTAACCTTTTGTTGCATTTTAACCAAACTTGAGTTTGAACCGACACAAGCCTGCTTCGGAAGAGAAGTGAATATGTACTTTTACTCCTATGAGCAACTGCACAGCAAGGTGAGAAAGCTCATCCTGCTCTCTGGGACAAACAGAGCAATCACACTCTTCCAAAACTCTCCCAACAACTTAGAGCCTTAGGACAATAGAGGCTGGACAGCCAAAGTTTCATGCTTACAGAAATATAACAATGTACAAAGCAAACAGTGCTGTTCTCTCCCCGCACAGAGCGTTTTAGAGCTTATTTTAACTGGCTCTGAAACAATGAAGTTTAAAACGTGTACACTGCAGTTAATTTACTGATGCTGTTGGAAAAATGTAAAAAAGAAGGAGGTATCAATGAAATGAAAGCCTTAAATTTAGTTCTCTGCTTGCTCTTAAGGCTCGGGATGAAACGCACGCTATTAAAAATACACGGAAACCAAGTTTGGAAGGTAAGCTAGATGCTATGAGTCTACCTCTGAGGCAACATGCATGCTGAAGTTAATCAGAATCAGGTCGCTACTAAACAGCCGGAGGAAAACATGGGGTGCTTTGAGAAGCTACCTAAGTTGGCGGAAACAATGCCTTTTATCTGCACCCTCCCAAAAGAGAGAAACGCAGAGGCTCCAGTGTGCTAAGAAGAGACCCCTTTTCTGCTCTCAAATCCCAGAGGGCGTGGGGGGGGGCTGATTGTGACTGCAAAGATGCAGCCCACGGAGAAAGGGGGGGGGAATATATGGAGCACTCAACACATGCTCAGAGGTACCCTTCTCCATTCTTGGCACTGCGCAGTGATGAAAGGGCTGAGATTGGCTCGAATGAAGCCCAATACCTGCCCGGCTCCTCTCCTGCTTTCCCTCCTCTGCAGAGAAGCTGCGCTCAGATTTACTGGAGAAGTGATGCCCCGCTCTTCATGCTGGGACTGCCCTCCTTCCCATCCCTCTCTACCCCCTCGCCTTTCTCTAGTCAGGATCCCGCTTCTGGGTTTCACCATCTGTACCCACCCACTCCCCTGTTCCACGGCTCGCCAACTCTACCTCTCCGGTCTCTCTAGACTTACCGAGCTGTTCCTGGGAGAAGTTCGGGGCTGATGTAAATAGACACATCACCGACCGATGGAGAGAAGAAAGCGCAAGCGGAGGGGGGAAGAGAGAGAGAGGCGCCGCCGTGGGAAGACCCAGGAAGGAGGAGGAGGAGGAAGAGAAGAAGTCAGCCGGCAGGAGCCTCCAGGGAAGCGGCGGCGCTTAGGTTCGCGAGACGGGATGGAGGGGCGGAGAGGGGGCGGCGGCAGGCGCTGCGCTCCCGGCGCTCCCCCTGGACTCAGGCGGCGGGTTGTGCGAAGAGCCACCCAGGCATTGCCAAACTAGCCGAGGCAGCCGCGGATCAGAGAGAGAGAGCAAGGAGAGAGTGGGTTTTACTCTTCCCTTGCAGGAGAGAGAGAGAGAGAGAGAGAGAGAGAGAGAGAGAGAGAGAGAGAGAGAGAGAGAGAGAGAGAGGCAGGGGCAGGCAGGGGCGAGCTGCGCTGGCTGGTTGCGATCCAGCCTCTCCGCTGTTCCTGCGGACTTTCAAAAGGTCTTGCCTCTTATCCTGATTTCTAAGCAGAGACTGGGCTGGGGGCAGGAAAGACGCACAACTCCTCCTCCTCCTCTCTCTCTCTCTCTCTGGCTTTGGGGAAACCCAGATGAGGCTAGGAGGGAAGCTTTGGTTCCTATCCCCACAAGATTAGCCAGGCCCTCCAAGAAAAAGAGGGACCTAACGGGTTATAGAAACCAACTCCTAGGGGCCAAGAGGTCTTCATCCCACTTCCATAAAATATATGAGCAGGTCCCACCCTCCCCCCAGTTGATAGGCATTGCCACGCACCACATCATGTGATCGATTATGTAGGATGGAGCTTACCTGTAAACCCCCCCCCAAATATTTTATTGAAGTTGGCACCCCTGCCACAGGTAGTACGAACTCCAGTTTGGCTTTGGTCCCATGGCCTGTGAAGAATGGGAGATGCCCTCACGCTAACAGGCAGGCAAGACTTTGTCCATACATATGGGGTGAAGGACGATAGCTCAGTGGTGTAGCACCCCTGGTTCAAGGACTAATCCTCAGCATCTCCAGGTAGGGCTGGGAGAGGACCACATTTGAAGTCATGGAGAGGTTCCATCAGTGAATGTAGACAGTACACTTACTAGGTGGACCAATGGTATGAGGCCTCTCCACCATGCTTCTGATGCAAAGGGGGAGAGCTCTGCTGGGAGCCTGCTTGAAGTCCACTTTTTGGGAAAGAGTAGTTTAAAAACAACTGTCCTATTTTATTTTTTTAAGAATTGGGTTGGTTGTGCTGAGTTGGCTAACTCACAAAGGATCTTCCTCAAAGGCTCCACCAGATCTATCACGGGTAGGTGAAATATGGTGTGGCCAAATGTTAGCCCACCAAACCACTATGAAGGACTACAGTGAACCCAAGGTCAAGGTGAAGTGATGGTGATCTTTCACTTGGTTATAACTGGATTTTGGATGGTTTTTCTTCTTCTTATGGGCACACACTAATTTCCCTTTCTTATGATTCATTATTGTGGTATAAGTTTCCATGCATTTTGTGCACATCTGTGAGATTTATTTGCCACAGATTGAATTTCTTGCGTTTCATGGTATTTCTGCCCCACTGTTAACATTTTCTCCCTACATATCTCTGTTGATCATAGCTGTCAACTTTCAGATTTGAAAATAAGGGATCAGCAGCCTCACCTGCCCTGGGGACAGTCTACGGGATATTTAACAATCCGGGATAGCAGCTGGAAATGGTGCTGGAATAAGGGAATTTCCCGCAAAATAAGGGAAGGTTGACAGCTATGCTATTGATCTCTCTCTGTAACTACAGGTAGAAGGCCTTGTTGGTAATTCCACAGCTGGCAGATTGCCATCGAGTGTCGATGGATAAGTGGACCACTTTTGCAGTGCCACTGACCCTCTGAAACACCCTCCAATAGGTTCATCTGAGGATAATGGGGCTTCCTTCCACATAAATCCTACAGCGTCAACTCCCATTGAGCACACAAAGAGCCCTGCTTTGATCAGGCCAATGGTCCATTTAAGACCAGCATCCTGTACTCACAGTGGCCAACATGTGGGAAACCTGCAAGCTGAGCATGAAGGCAATAGCACTCTGCCTGTCTGCGATTCACAGCAACTGATATTCTGAGACACAACGCCTCTGACAGTGGAGGTAGAACAAAGCTGTTGAGGCTGGGTAAACACTAATTGTTAACTCATTTGCATGTAGCTTTTCCCAGTTTTAACCTTTAAAGCCCTATATGGCCTAGGACCCTCGTACCTATGGGACCGCCTCTCCTGGTATGCCCCATGGAGGACCTTAAGGTCTGCAAATAACAACATCCCAAAGATTCTGGGCCCCAGGGAGATCAGACTGGTCTCGACCAGAGCCAGGGCCTTTTTGGCCATGGCCCCGGCCTGGTGGAACGCTTTCTCACAAGAGACTAGAGCCCTGTGGAATTTGACATCTTTCTGCAGGGCCTGCAAGATGGAGCTGTTCCGCGAGGCCTTTGGTCAGGGTTCAGTCTGACTCATTTTCTCCTTGTATAAGAACAAGCACGAAGGAGGTTCCGAGCCCGCTCACAGGTGCTTATAATATCAGTGGAAACAGTTGGTAACTGCCTTCAATTTTAACTTGAAGATTGCCACTTGTCCCATTTTCATTTTAATTTGTTTGAATTAATTGTGGGATGTATCTTAATTTATTGATCACTTGTTTTTATGCATTGTCTTATTTGTATGATGTTAGCCACTCTCAGCCTGGCTTTGGCCAGGGAGGGTGGGATATAAATAAATTTATTATTATTATTATTATTAATGCTTTTCCTCAACATGCTGCTTTCAATTGATATTTATTCTAGAATTGGCCATCCACAAGAGTGGGCTTGGTTACTTGATATGCAATTGAAATCCCTTCCCTTGCTTAGGTTATTCATGCCTTTCCCTCTTTGTACATGGTCCAGGTGAATGATGGAGGAAGTGGTGATGGCAGTGATGGTATGTGCCCACTTGCAACATTATCAGGCAGGTGTAGATACGCACCCAGACCTCACACCAGCTATACGGAATGGAAGAAAGAATAGGGAGATATATATTCTCCCTCTTTCAGAACACTAGAACCCAGGGCCATCCAACGAAGATGAACACTGGAAGATTCAGGACAGGCAGAAGAAATTCCTTCTTCATGCAGTGGGTGGTTACAGAATTCATTTCCACAAGATGTAGTTATTGATGGCTTTAAAAGAGAATTGGGAAATTCCATGGACTGTAAGCCTATCAAAGACTACTAGGCATGATGGCTGGGTTCTGTTTTTACTCTTGGAGGCAGCATGCCTCTGAACACCACTTGCTGGGAATTACAAAAGGGGGAAAGGATTGCTGCGCCCATGTCCTGCTTGCATGGACATCTGGTTGACCACAATGAGAACAGGATTCTGGACTAGATGGGCTGTTGGTGCTGACCTTTAAAGCCCTAAACGGCCTCGGTCCAGTATACCTGAAGGAGCGTCTCCACCCCCATCGTTCTACCTGGGCACTGAGGTCCAGCACCCAGGGCCTTCTGGCGGTTCCCTCACTGCGAGAAACCATATTACAGGGAACCAGGCAGAGGGCCTTCTTGGTAGTGGCACCTGCTCTGTGGAACGCCCTCCCACCAGATGTCAAAGAGAAAAACAACTACCAGACTTTTAGAAGACATCTGAAGTCAGCCCTGTTTAGGGAAGCTTTTAATGTTTAATAGATTATTGTATTTTAATATTCTGTTGGAAGCCTCCCAGAGTGGCTGGAGAAACCCAGCCAGATGGGCGGGGTATAAATAAATTATTATTATTATTATTATTATTATTATTATTATTTTATTATCCAGATAGACTTTTCTCAGGTCCTTCCAAGATGCTGAAGGGTGATGGGCGTGGCAAGGACAATCAGGGGCACCATCTAGTGGGGGCCAAGAAGCCTCCCCCCAAATTTTCAAGGAGGGGACCAGGCCCCCTTCAACATCCCCCTCAATGTGTGTGCATGCCACACAATGTGCTCATGCCACTCGTGCACACGTGTGACACATCAGCAGGTTGCATAGTGCTGACTCCTTCAATCATGGGGGCAATCATCATTTTATCCACAGTGCCATAATCAAGGACCCCATCTGTGTGAGGCTCAGGGCCAGAGTCAGAGGTAAGCATTGCCACGCAAGCCATGTTAGTGTCCCTTACCCCACTGAAAAAGACAAAGGAACCACACGAGTCCATCACTAGTGCAAGTATATAGTGTAGCAAATTCTATTACAGTGGTACCTCGGGTTACATATGCTTCAGGTTACATACGCTTCAGGTTACAGACTCCACTAACCCAGAAATAGTACCTCGGTTTAAGAACTTTGCTTCAGGATGAGAACAGAAATCGTGCTCCGGCGGCGCAGCGGCAGCGGGAGGCCCCATTAGCTAAAGTGGTGCTTCAGGTTAAGAACAGTTTCAGGTTAAGAACGGACCTCCGGAACGAATTAAGTACTTAACCCGAGGTACCACTGTATTTGCTTTTTCAGAAATGCAAATGGGGTGAGGGTTCTCTGGGTTTATTCCTGATATGATGAGCAAATGACCCAGAATGGACATCAGTGAAATGAAGATGGATAGACAGCAATTAAGTCAAGAAGCCTGATATGGCGCTTCCTGAAAAAGGATGGTGCGAAAAGTGACAAAACGTTTTCATATACCGAACAGCAAGGAATAAAAACATCCCACAGTGTGTCGAAATGTCTCCATTAAGAAGATGAGCGCTCATATCTCATTCTCTGCTAATAAAGCTATAAATGTCGACAACAATCATGATCCCCTGCCTTCAAAAAGAAGAGGGAGAAATGGCCCCCAAATTAATCAAGACATCTCAATTTCAACATTATATATACGGTATATATATATATATATATATATATATATATATATATAACCCACCATGGTTCTTTCAAGCACTGCCACTTCACTTATTACACCAACCCATCTACTTAAAAGGCCCATCTTAATGTCCTTTTTAATGCGGCTTCAAAAACCAACCCCAGACCCTACCCCTATTATCACTCTCAGCTTTCTAATTTATACGCAGTGAGGGGGAAAAGTTTAATGGCCAGAAAACCACTTTGGTCTGTACATAGGCCAAAAAGTTTTCCATTTATAAAAACTTAGTTTTGAAATCCAGCATAGATTTAAGAGGGAAATGGAAATCTATCTGAGAATATGACTAGAAAAGCAAGAGAGAGAGAGAGAAGCAGTGACCTCTTCTTTTATTTTTATTTTTCATTTAATGGCTAATGTAATAAAGATCTCTAAACAGTTTGCATTAAAATAATAAAAAATATTATTTAACAGTGGCCTCATATGTAGAATATCAATAGGCGCTACCTCCTCTTCTTTCCTATGCCAAGGCCCTGTGATCCTCAGATGAAGGGCAATAAAGAAATTTAATAAATAATAATAAAGTCTTCACCAAGACCAACTTTAAAACACGCACCCTGCCGGGGAA